TGTTTCTTTTGATACTTTACTCATATTTGATGTAGCCCCGTTGATAAGATTTTTGTTGAACTCAGAATGTTGATAAGGAGCTAATTTTACAATATAAGCACTTGTGACAATATAAGGAGAATATATGTGTGTCCCTGTTAGTCTGTTCTGCCCATAAATTCATAGATTTTCAGTAGTGAAAAATCCAATTTAACAACCCCAATTCAAAAAGTCAATGGTTTTTTGTAAGAACTTCCAGAGCCCATTTAACACCATCACTGCTTTTTACTTTTTTTATTCGATGGCTTTCTACGTGTTTTGTTCGTAATGGTTGTCTCTTTACGCACAGTTAATGACTTTTCACCTTTTCTTTTTGTACTTTTTTCACACCCTGGGAGTTATGATAGTTTTATAACGATGTAATGAGTCAACATTGGCATTAAACATCAAGTCACACACTTCTTCGCCAGAACCAAAATCGTAAGACACAGTTTCTCAAGCAACTTTCCTGTGTACTTGAATAGTTATAGGGTATAGTTCACTGATAAATTGTAGTTCCGCATATCCATAGTACTCACCATCTCAAGAAGAACATCAAACACTGACCTTGAGTAAGATTCATCCCTATAGTAAAATGTTTGTATTTTTCCCACTCATTAGCAATTTTCTTTTGGCTACAACTTGCAAGCGGAAGTTTCCGTCGTATGGGTATTATTTCACATTCCATGCTCAAATTTAAACTCAATTACCACTTTCCTTCAGAAAACTAACACTTTATTTGAAAATACAAAATTTGCACCAAAGCATAGGCTACAAATAATGTTCAAATACATTTATAAATAATACATTGTGGAATAAAAAGTTGACAAATACACTTTTCTTTGTTCCAAATCGTATTTTTTTTTACAGGAATTCCTAGATCTATCTATATATTAATAGGCAAGCATGTTTCTTTAAAACCTTTTTTCTCAGCTCGTGTGCATCGTAGGGAAAATCTACGCATACCGTTAGAAAGCTATTTTCCTGTAGGTGTGCAGAATCCCTTTATAAATTTAAATAGGCTCAAAGATAAGCGCAAAAAATGAGTTTAAAAATTTGAAAAAATTTACATGGATCTTATGCGTTGCCATGCTGGTGACGAAATAACAACGAAATATAAACAGAAAATCAAAACAAATGGAAGAAACTCCAATCACATGTTTTATTTACAGTGTGGGGTGAAACATTAACATAAGTGAGTACATTACATATTTTTGGTCGAGTTTCGACCACTGGACATTACTCGTTATAATTATTACATACTGAATATGAGGTTATAAAAATAATAACAAATGTCTGGCAAACATTAAACAGCCGACGAATAATTTATAAACTGTGTATTAAACTCTTCAATAAGAATTGTATTGACTCAACCTTTGAAGGGCTGTTGGTCTTAACCCTTAGAAAAAACGTGAATTCTAATGAAGTTCGGCAAATCTATGCATTATCCCCTTTAATTTGACACATAGAACTTGTGGATCGGTCCAGTAATTACTGAGAAAACAGTGTTACAACTGTGTATTATTAAATATATAGATTGTATTGCATAGATTTAGCAATGTATGTAAATAAAATAATGTTAAAATAAGAAACATAATGTACTTGTTAGTTCTTATTTCTATGACTCTATCCAAGTATGTATGTACAGTTTGAATAAAGATGATTTGATTTGAATAACTTTTTACTACAAGTAAAATAAGAAAAATATTTTTATTATTAAAATTAACTGCTTTTTAAATAACTTCTTAACTCTTGACTGTGATTACCAATACATATTTTTGTATGAAATTGAACATCTTATTCCACACACTTTATGGTTTCACTTAAATCAGCCTTTAGGACTTAGATCCAATTGAGGGTTCTCATTATTTTAATAATGTATTTAAAGGTTTTCAAGACAATAAATGGAATATTGAGTATGTTTTTGTTCCTGTTTTCTCTAATAACACAACCTATATTTTTTGAAATGTATGAAAAAACTTCCATTTGTTCATATTTCCTCAATACTGTATTTTTAAAACACTTATCATATCACAAGTATTATTTAACTTCCTTCGTGAAATATTACCCCTAACTGGCCCTAACTTTAAAATCTAAGCGACTTCTGTGTTATCCAAGATTCTCGGTAACCTTAGTAGTCTCGGCCCCAACAACCTCGGTTAATCAGGAGTATACTGTACTGTACTGTTACTTTTGATGCCCTTTAGGGCTTAAAGCTTTACAAGTAACAATCAGTAAAACAATTCCAAATTGACAGATGCAATGGAAGTCACCATCACCAAACTGGAGGCCCCTGAAGACTATGATAGAATACAGCCTTTGTACATAGAGTTACGGGACTCTGTCCCGCTTTGCCGTATGTTTGGAATCACCGCTCGGAGATCGGTAAAGCCAAACTATAGCCATGAGGACTTAATCTTTGTGGCAGAAGATGGACAAGGAAACATCATCGGGTTTGCAGCCAACAAGGTTCATGCGACCATTACCCGAGAACCAGACCCGTCTCCAGAGCAACTTGAGGTATTTTATTTGTCTTTTTAATTTATTTTACTATCCCAAACCAGGAAGTGATTAATTTATTTTGCCATATGTTTGTATGTGTAATACAACTGAATTATGTTATATTATATTTTCCCATTCATGAAATCATTTTGAGTTCACTTCCAATAGATTTTCCAATAATTCTGTTAAATTTCCAAACACAAATGACACAATTTCAGGAACCTCAGGGGGGAATTTGATTGAGGGGGTTTCGATTGTCCAGCAAGTTATGAAAATAAAATTCAAGGACAATCTCAGATTTTTCAGATTCAAAACATTGTGATTGTCTCCTGTAAATCTCTTTATTATATTTGTGATCTTAATTATTAATCTCATCCTGTTTATAAATTGACACCCAACCATAGGCTATTAGCATTACTCCAAATGAGTGGTGGCAGCTGAGTGGTTTAAAAGTGCTCGCCCAACAATCAAAAGGTTGCCGGTTTGATCCTAAAAAAGACCAGTAGCTTTTTGATGGTTTAAAACTAGACCCAGCTCAGTGGCGGATTCAGAGGGGGGGCAAAGGGGGTGCCCACCCCCCTCGAGCATACATTAGCGTAAAATAATTTGTCACACTAACTTTGGACAAAGAAATGGTATAAAACTGGCATTTTGAAGACTTGGTTTACACAAATTTTTCAGGGGGGTACCCCCGAACCCCCCAGTTCACCCCCCCCCTTGTGACTGTTCTAGATTCGCCACTGACTCAGCTGTTGCTGATCATTGGGCTTTAAACATGATCCTGACTAAGAAACAGCTGATCTTAGTAACAAAGCTACACAGATCATCTTACGCCATTCTTCACTCATCCGTCACTTATATTTTGGTTGAAAAATACACCTAGGTAGCGTCACTATCTCAATTGGTGATAGACTTTTTCTCGGTAATCAAAATTAATGTACAATTTTTTGTTTCTCACTCACCCTGGTTTTTTTATCACTTTGACAAAAGTTGTTTCTCAATTTAGACTAATTAAATGTGATGTTTCAGCTGGAAAAGTTCTTAGAGTTTATCACCATCCAGGAGCAGGAGCAGTTGGATAAGTTGCCGCAGAGGTGGATAAAGCTAAAGGAAGCGTTGGTGACGGAGGAATGGAGGGGGCGAGGAGTGGCTCGTAGACTAGTAGAGAGAAGTATGCAAGAAGCAAAGACTGCAGGGTTTAAAGCTCTCACTACGTGCTGTGTCAACGAGTACGCTGCTAGACTCGCGAGGAGCCTTGGCTGGAAGGAGCATTACCGTCTAGCTTACAGTGACTACCCGCGACTGTCTGGGAGAAACGTTCAACTGATCCCCAACCCTCCTCATGGACACGTGTACTGCTACTACACAGAACTGACTGATGACTAAAGATAGGGTGGCCGATAAATAGGTGAATTAGTTAGGTTCATAGAATAACATGAGGATGCAAAAAAAGTAAGACATGGATCTGCTTACTTCAGGTTACTGAGGAAAAGGTTGTTCAAGCAGAGTTGGCCTAGTGGCTGGAGCATTTCTATCCTTTACCTACAAGTTCAAATTACCAATTGGCTTTCGCTATGCGACAATCTTGTGCCACTGTAGTTCAGAGCCTATCTTAAGACGTGCTTTTAATCAAGTCAAGAAGACATTAAACAAACACGCAGGAAATATTTACCCTCCAAAAACATTCCGTAGAAAAATTGTTGTTTAGTTTCAGCGTAAAAACCTTAAATTAAGGGTCTGCCTTTCTAATTTTATTGGATAACAATTCGTTTTGGAGATTTATTGCTTATCAAAAACTGAATAGGTACCTATCTAATGTATAATTCCTAGGCCCATGGCACTATTACACGATTTGTAAAAGTAAAAGTCTTCACTCTAGATAATTTCTTCAATTTATTTCCCCAATGCAAGAAACGTATGAGTTTTTTTTAGTAGCTTTTGTTCTTGCGCAAGTGCTCTTTTCTCTAATAAAAAATGCCACACTCCGTGACAAAATGTATTAAAGGATAGAATAAGAACTCTTGCAAGAACAAAGGCTCAAGCAATGAAAGATAATTCAAAAACTTAAGATGTATCTCTCTTAGATAGAAAAGAAAAAGCTACTTTATATAATGCGTAGCTTAAGAAACCATAATAAATTTTTTTAATGGATTATCTGTCTTTGTGTTGTTATTTATCTACACTTTATTTACTTCATATTATACTGTGAACATATTATAATGTGAAAAATGCTCTCTCAATGACAAATTCTAAAATACTTATTTTTTGTAGTCAACGTAATCTCACAAAAGCCTAGTTAATGATTTTTGTTGGAACAAGGCTTCAAGGCTTACGTGGATAGGCCAAAAGTTGTTGTGTTTGCTATGACAGAAAGAACTCTTTTCTGAGAAGCCTTTCATCCCAACTACAAACCTGATCATTTTTTGCATGTTAACTTAAATATAGTGCTAAATCTATAGTATAAATACTGTTAACCCTACCTGTAAGCATATCTCTCCTTATAAAGACCATGTACAGTACTGAACACAAGTTGGTAGTACGCAATAGTCCCATCTTGACATCCTAAGGCCTGGAAAAGATTAGAAAATGACTTTTTGGATTGTCTAGTTTATGTAGGATATGTTTTAAATGTTTTTGAGGTATATCTTGGAGTAAAATACTAATTTTGAGACAAGTCCCCTATTTGTAAATAATTAAATGAAAAATATTTGTACCATTTGTGTATGAATTAAACCATTGTAAGAAAATAGAAGTAGATGTAGAATTATTAGCAGGACAAAAAATTGTTTATAAAATTTTGCTAAGACGGAGTTATAGCTAAACTCATGGTATTCCAGCTATGGTACACAAAAGATTAAAGATGTACAATAACTGTCTGTAAATTAAGATCTCGACAAAGCTTCTGTTGTGGCTAAGCATAGTTCAAATCTGATTCAAGCACAATGTTCTTCCTCTTTTAGCGAATTTCCCATATAGCGAATATGCTATTAGTGTAGGTCTCATGGTAAGACCTGGATCCGGGACCGATTTACTTTACATTTTGATGTCCCCAGAGGCTAAAAACACCATTTGTTCAAATATATGTATATATGTAAATATTAAGTATGATTGTGGTTAGGGCTACTACTATATAAATAATTGAAAACATTATAAAAACATAAGTACCCTTTTTAAATTCATTTTTAATTAATAAACGACATGTTTCGACACTTAGGTCATAGTCATGTTTACATTTACAAATACAATAACAAAAATAATTAATGAAAGGAATAAATAGTCATATGTTAAGTTAACTTAGAATTTAGAGGATCTTGATTTAATCTTTGTTTAATTTTGTGTATATTATATAATGTTTTAGTTTTATTGTAACTGTAGGATTTTTTCAAATATCGGATTTGTTTTATTTATGTTCATGGTATTCAATAAATTTTGAGGGTATTTTTTGTAATTTTTGTATATATGAAAATCTTCTTTGACATTTAATTTTGTTTTATTTCTTTCATATTCTAGAATTTCTAAATTTTCATTTATATTTTTGTACTCATGTCGAGTTTCGATTAGGTGCTCTGCAAAATTTGATTTCATTGTAGTTTTGTTACCTGATTTTAACGCTTGTATGTGTTCCTGGAACCTTTTCTTAAAGCTACGACTTGTTTGGCCAATGTAGGATTTGTTGCAGTCTGAACATTTAATTTGATAAATGCCTGATTTGTTTATATCTTTAACTTGGTTGTTATGTGCTTCATTAGAAATTTTGTTTTTTATCATCTGAAAGGCATTATTTTTTGTTCTGTAACTTATTTTCAAATTTGAATTTTGGAAGGTTTTTCTTGTTGCTTTGTTTATGGTTGTACTATGGGGTATGCAAATATATTCTTTTCTATTGTTTTCTCCAATTGATCTTTGTGTTTCAGATTTCTTTTTAATTTTCCTTCGAATCATTTTTTCAATTATAGAAGATTTGTATCCATTTTTCAAGGCTAAATATAGGATGATGTTTTTCTCTTTTTCAAAATCTTTGTTTGACATTGGTATATTTACTAATCGATGGGTCATTGAATGAAAAGTTGACATGTCGAAACATGTTGTTTATTAACCCTAGCAGTGGCCAATGTTAGAAGTGGGGAATGGCCAACCCATTTTGGCGATTTTGCAGACCATTTTTTGAAAATTCGTAAAAATTCTACCGTACAAGTAAACCTAGCCAACCTCATATTCATTTTGTTCGGAAAGAACAGGAGAATCTAGAAATAGTAATATCATAATGATTTAGACAGTGTATTTTATCGGTAAAGTGAAAAAAATAAAAAAAATTGAATTTTTTTTTTGAAATTTCAAAAGCGGCCTCTGCATTTTTTTTCTACGGATTTTTGTATGGGAAATTCATTATATACATTTTGTAGACAATCTAATTCCCTACATAGAAATATATGACATGTTAGGAAAATATTTTTTTTTATAAGTTTTTGGGGCGAAATATAATGACAAACGGAGAATCAAAAAAATTGAAAGCCGTGCAATGTTAGTTTATGTTGTAAAAAGTTCTATAATATATGTGTATACTAATAATGATATATACATGTTTGTAAAGCTAATGAAGTAAGGAATCAAAAAAAGTCATAAAGTTTATGGTAAAAATAATTTTTTACCTATAAACATACGTATATAAAATAATGTTTTTATATTTTAGCGATTTCTCGAGAAAAAAATTCACAGTACTTAGTATACAACTTTTGTACCAAATTTGTTTACTTCAAACCAACATAATAATCTTGTAGTGTATTCAATTACCTACATAAAAATGTATAACAACAAGTTAGAAATATTTTTTTTTTTTGTAGGTACGTAATAGAGACATAATAATACAATAACCGCAAAACCGCAAATAAGTGTAAACTATAGCCTACAGTGTTTGCTTGTGTTGTGAAACATTATGTAGGCTGATGATATGTAGCCTACATATTTGTAAAGCTAATGAAGTAAGGAATCCAAAAAAGTCATAAGTATGATGGTAAAAAGTTATTTTCACCTATGATTATGTATCAATTTGAGAACGTTTTGAATTTTTTGCGCATTTCGAGAAAATGTAGTGTACAGTATTTAGTAGCCTATATAATTTTTTTACCAAATTTTGTACACCCAAACCAATATAAACATGTTGTAGTGTATTCATTTACCTTTATAAAAATGTATAACACATTGGGTAAATCATTATATAGCATATATAGCACCTCTGAATGTCAGAATCATCATTTTTGAACATGATGCTAACAAAATACAGTAGTAGGCCTATTTAGTATAGGCTATAACTTTTTTACAAAATTTTTTACCCCCAAACCATTATAAACATGTTGTAGTGTATTCATTTACCTTTATAAAAATGTATAACACCTTGGGTATATCATTATATAGGTACAACAATCTCTGAATGTCAGAATCGTCATTTTAAGACATGATGCTAACAAAATACAACCTTTTATGAACACTATTTCACACAATTCAGTAATATTTATGCATGAAGATTACTGTTATACACACACACAACACTTCACTGACACTAACACTACGAACTAATAACATATTTAGTAATAAATCGCGGATAAAACTATTACCGGCAACAACACAAACAAACAATGGCAATACAAGACAGCTGACAGACTGTAGCAGTAATGACTCACTTGTCGTCTACATGCGAGCATACAGAAATAACCCTGAGTGCAGGGCTGCCACTCTCTGAATCTAAATTTCTTCCTCTTCAAAATGATATACTATATGACTAGTAATAATAACTTTCACTGTATATAATTCGTATTTTCCATACTGTCACCAGACGACTGTTGGCCATTTGTTAGAAATTCCGAAAACAGCTGTTTTCATAAAATCGTACCGATTGTGCAATCAATATTTAGTTATAAATATCACTACCACAATGAAGATAAAATCAATGGCTATCCAGTGGTACCACCCGCAACATCCCAAGACGAAAATTACCCGAGCAGGGTAATGCCAAACAAGACGTGTTTTGCCAGTTCCCAAGTGTCGGCTGCAAAAGTCGTACCGCGCCAAAATTTCATTTGATTTCTAATCGTCGTGACATTGTTATATACCTGCTACAGGGTTTGTTTATGTAATCAAATGAAAGTTCAGAATGTGATCTTTCGAATGGTATATATATTATTCTCATCTGAGTTGATTGTAAGTGTTTTTTTACCGTTAAAAAAATTTCGGCCCATACCGTCACCAGACGACATTGACCATTCTAAGCATCAACGTCATACCGTCACCAGGCGACGGTTGGCCACTGCTAGGGTTAATTAAAAATGAATTTAAAAAGGGTACTTATGTTTTTATAATGTTTTCAATTATTTATATGTAAATATATATATATATAAAATATATATTTTAAATATATATATATTTTTTTGCATGTTTGATTTTATTGGGTATGATGATGATTAGAGTGTCCAATCAAAATCGATCACCACTTACCAGTTTTTTGTATATTTACCGTCTTGTGAGTAACAGTAAATGCGTAAATATATGTTTTAAGTGTTACAGTATAAGACGTTTCTTTTATTTACTTTCCGTGGATTTCAAGTACAATGCTGATCAAGAAGTTATTTAGACAACCTTTGTACAAATACATAATCCAACCGTAAAAGACTCACCACATAGTTGGAGTTAGGCCGAGCTGCACAGCACCAGACCCAGGAGCTCTGTTGGTCACCGACCACCCCCAACTTGATACCATCCTTAGTCACCAGGTGGCAGCAGTTGTCACTGCCACTCAACAAGATGTACTCTCCGTGGTCCAAGTAGCGGACACATAGAGGCTCACTGCCTAAACTGCGCTCCTTGCCAACCTAGCAAACAAAAACTTCCTAACAGTCGGTGTTACAAAGACTAATTACTTACAACTCTCTCGATCAATCAATATAACTTAATCATCATCAACATAATACATTTCTAATGCAAATCATGTCTTTTGATGGTCTATGTTGGTTTAGTTAATTTGCCATTTCTTACTGATTTGGAAGCTGGTGAATGGTCTATTGAGTTCACGAACGATAACTAAACATTACAGAAAACATATCAATGTATGTTAGACTCTCTTACCCCAACCACTATTTCATGACCAATCCGCACGATGTTAGTAATTTGTTTAGGCCGGCCAAAAGTATTAAATGTTATATTGTTTCGTGTAAATATAAATGTTTTGCGTGGCAGTGTGTGTATGTACTACATGTGGAATGCAACGACCAATGTTTTTTTAACAGTAATTAATAAGACAGAAGATTTGATAATGGGACAGATTGCCCCGAAACTATAGTCATCAGAAAAAGACGACTCGGATTGAAGACGTAAAAAAGTATTCAACCTTTTATTAGTAGACAATTGATAATTTGCTAAATTAGTTCTTCAGCAAACTATGCACTCAATTCTCAAATAAATTAGGCACATACATTTATGGATTTTACTACAAGAAATTTGAGGTTTGGTGCAAGTGTGGCCAAAATACACAGCTATAGGTATTTTTTATTTACTGGCTGTAAAAAAATATGATTGAAAAAGTAAAAGAATGGTTTTTAACTTAACTTACCAATTTCCCGGTGACAGTATAGAACGACATGGCCTGCCCCCAATCAGTAACACAGAGAATGTCACCGTTTTCATCCCTGAAAAAAAAAACATTTGGTTTATGCATTTCAGTTTATGAGAGTTGGGATAGTTTAAGAGTTTAAGTAAGATTATTATCAGCTAAAAACCTATTAGTGATTTATTATCACATTGGTAAACAAATGAAAATCGTCTTTTGTCCTTGGTAGTATGACTGTGCCTTGGTTTTGGTAGTGGATTTTTTCCTTGGTAACGTGATGATCCCTTTTTATGAGAGACAAGCTGCTATACCCGTGCTTTGCAACAGGAAGAAAATGTGACCGAGAGAGCTATTAAAGTGGTGATGATGTGTGTTTTAAAATACAGCAACTCTATGACTTAGTTTTAAAATATAAACTGATTTAAAAGCGTAAACCTACTTACTTTCAAACCCCTACTTTTGATGTTAATAGATCCATAAGAATATGACAACATACCTTAGTATAGCAATAGCATCAAATGCTTCATATTGATGCTTCATGAATGACATGTTTTACCATAATTCTTAAATTTTAGTCAAGCCTCTTCACATGTAGCTTACTACATAAATTAAATAAACTGTATCAGCATTCTGACACATACGTTCTCCCATAAGTTTGTCAACAACCTTTATCATGTGTAAGCGGTGACAGTAAATATACGGAAATGGGATTTGTACAATTTTGTTCAGAATTTAAGGACTATAACATACTACATTTTTATCAAAATTGTTCGGGCCATTTTTGGGAAAATCCGATTTTCCGTTATTTTATGGGGTTTTTATGGGAAAAATAACATAATTTACAATAACTTTTGAACCCTAATTTTTACAGGAATGGGATTTGTACCATTTTGTTCAGAATATAAAGGACTATAACATACTCAATTTTTATCAAAATCGTTCGGGCCATTTAAAAAAAATCCTATTTTTCCGTTATTTTATGGGGTTTTATGGGAAAATCCCCATTTAACCCTTAATTTGACAGCGTGCCATTATTGGCACATGAGGATTCAAAAAAATGGCACGCTCGCCTGTTAACTTTTTAATTCCAACAAACGGCGTCCAAAGGTTCTTTGCCTATTGCTATTATGGTTTATTGCACTATAATGGATGTTTTGGAAATTACTATCACTTGACACCAACATATAGAAAAGGAAGTATGGAGGCTTAGTGTGGAAGGTTAGTAAATTACTTCTTATTTCAATATTTTAGGCTGTTTACGTATATATCTAAGTGATTTGCACAAATTAAAGATGAGAAAACATAACCCAGGTCAGTAATTAGCTAAAATATGAATATTGATTTTTTTATAAACTAAACAATTTGAGTGTGACAAAAATGGCACATTGCCAAAGAACCAGGAAACAATGAAAATTTTTGGGCGTGCCAAAAATGGGACATTACCAAAGATGCAGTTATTTTTTTTTAGTTTATTGAGCGCGTCTAAAGTGGCACACTGTTTATAAAACAGTGAAAGGTATTTATATTTGTAAATGTATGTCTCTTATTTCCACAAATTGTAAAATTAAAATGTTTTTGTGAGGAAAGATTTTTCACTAGGCTGTTTAGAAAAGACCTTGGCTTTACAAAAAATCCTGACCATCCATGGCAACAAATATCTACCAAAAAGAGTTTTCTTGAAAGTGAATCTTCTTCGATGAAAGTTAATTGTGCATTCTGATAAAGACTTTGGTACTTACAAATATTTGCTCACCATATCGACATATCGTGGAATAACGCATTGATGCCACGTTGAAAATAATTAAACTAAAAACCAGCAAGACAATATGTCACTAAAAAATTTTAGGTATGGGATTTTTGAATCCTAACCAAAGAAAGGAGTAAAAGACAAGTTCTAAAAGACAAGGATTTACTTCTTCTCACACCAGCTGCTCTGATGTATGTTGACAATGTACGCTTTGATGGCGTTGGACACTACTCTTTCTTTGTATACATCAAGAGGTCGATGTAGATTTTGCAAAAATAAAAAATCTTCGATAGAGTGTTCAAAGTGTAATGCGAGGCTGTGCTGTAACTGAAAGAAAATAGCAATTGTTTTGTGGGATTTCCTAAAAATTGGAGGCCGTTACTTTATGGACATACTCTAATGAAATTTCAAAAGATTTTCCTGATTGGCATGACTAATAAAATATCAATAAATTATATAATAACGTATTTTCTATTGTAATCACATAGTTTTGTAGAGGTTTTACATGTGTATACATTTTAGTTCATTTTTATAATGACTTTTATACTATTTTGATAATGTCGACTTATTCAAACCCTAAAGTTTATTTTTAAGTGCTATACAGATAAACTTGTTGTATTTAATTCAACATGAGATTCCTAGAGAAATCTCCGCATCTTTGGCAAAGTGTCAAAAATGGCACACATGAAAAAATTGTGAAAAATACTTGTAAGAATTTTAAAATTATTTTTTTGAAGTTCCTTTGGACCCTTTTGATTGAAATATTGCAAGGAAAAAGCAGTTTTCAAAAAAAGATTTGTTTGCCAAATTAAGGGTTAAAATCAAAATTTATAAAATATAAAAAAAAACTATCGAAATTGTAAGAAACATAACATACTATGTTAAATCAAAACCAGATTCTTAAAAAAAAAATCTTATTTTTCATCGTTTTATGGGGTTTTTATGGGAAAATAACATAATTTACAATAACTTTTGAACCGTAATTTTTACAGAAATGGGATTTGTACCATTTCGTTCAGACTTTAATGGGCTACAACATACTAAATTTTTATCAAAATCGTTCAGGCCATTTTTGAGAAAATCAGATTTTTCCGGTTTTTTATGGGAAAATCCCCATTAAAAATCAAAAGTTCAAAAAAATGAAAAAAAACGCCTGGAGATACCATGGATTAGAACCTACATACCAAATTTCATCGAAATCGGACCACAGGTGTAGTCCCTAGCTCTGTACACATCCAGACACACAGACACACACACAGACATCACTTTGAAAACCACTTTTTTGGGTCCAGTGGGACCCAAAACGAATATATCCACTCAAAACTCAAACTCGAAAATTTTGACGAAAACAATACTTTCTCCATATACTATGGTATAGGGGGAGAAAGTAAAAAATTATACATTGAGCAATACTTTACAAAACGTAGGCTATACAACCTCACTTTAAAACCAAACATAACCCTCCTCAATCTACATAAAGAGTCACAAACATATTTTTCAAGTAAATAAATAAACACCAGTTCCTTGTACTGACCAGCTGTTTCATTAACTAATTAAATTAAATCATTTAAACATTGGAAGCATGCCAGGCGCAGCCCTTTGGAAATCAGCCTGTGGGGCAGAGCCCTTAGGAAATTCTTCCATATCAATACTTTTCGGCAAATCTACACAATCTAAGCTTCATTTTGATGTGCCATATGCCTATATTTTTATTTGTTAAATTATGTTAACCGTTTACATAAAATTTGATTGTATCACTTTAATAATATAATAGATGCCTTGGTATATCAGAGCCTTGGTAGTATGAACGTGTCTCGTAAGTGTGATAACAACCAACAGTGAATCATCTTTCACACAATTGACTAGACGAGTCCAATCAAGTTTTACCCATCGGAAACATATGCTAATGTTAGTGTTAACCAACCTAATGAATTTAAAATAAATCTTTTACCAAGTGTCAAACTCTAAAAAAATCTGATATTAATAATGATGTGCTGGGTTCATCAACTATTTATCTAACTGAGAATACTTGCTCTTTCCTCAACTCTCATTCAGACTTTTTTTGACAATACGTTTTAATCAAGGAAACACAAGTTTTCAATATTTTTTGAATATATTTATGTCAAATCTTATTTTTTACCGACCATGGCAAATTTTACAACTACAGTATTCTCTTTCGAGTTGGATTTTGAATCTTGAAAATGTAACAGAAAGTTGTTGGTTCAGACAGGTTTCTCAAGAAAAGATTATTTACCAGGCTACTTACTTGCTAGGACTGAAGGCGAGTGCCCACACAGCATTTGGTCTGTCGATTCTAACCTGGTGAAAACCAAACATTAGAATATTTCACTGTCACTGACATCATTTTCAACTTTTAGATAAATACAAAAAAGTCAAAAATACAGTTAGCCTAAGTGAAATGATTAGCTACGTTTAGTTACAAATGTTGTAATATGTCTTAGAAATATTATTTGCCCAGGACCTATTGACTAAATTATTTCCTAGATAATGCGATTAAATCTTTTACATAGAGAACTTGTATATCCTTCCAAAGAAAATAAATAGCCTAGTTATTTACAGAGAAACTATAATTCAAAGTTCATCATTCTAGAATATAGACTGAATCAAAAAATAAAAGTGAGTCAACAAAAAGGATTCTTGTATGCATATTGCGAAGGATCTCTAAATCACAAGAACAGCTCTAACAGCAACTTTCCCAACAAATTACATGATATAATGACATGACTGTACCTTCTCCTCTCCCGCCTTGTTGCGTATGCTGACAGCACCAACGGCCAGGCCCAGCGCTAGATGTTGTCCATCGCTGCTCCAAGCGCAAGCGTTGACCCGTGAGGTCTTGTGCTTGGTGACGGCTTTGGCCTCGGCCACCCAGAAGGCGAAGTCGCTGACGGCGCAACTCACTAGATGGTGTGTCACAGGGTTGTAGGCCAGACATTGTACCGCGTCACTATGGCTATCAATAACACAGGGTGTCAATAACCAGCTTTGGTAATTTATAGTGTTGCAGTCAAACCACTGAAGCTCAAGAAAAATTTGATCTGCTGGGTTCAAGAACTGAATCTTGAATATCAACTCAATTACACCTTTGTGAGCACTAACACATTACACACATTAGTTCAAGACAGTGAATATAATGGAATTAGGGAATTTAAAAAAGTGAAAATTGTTTATTTCAGAAATAGGTAACTGAAGTGTTTGGCAATTTTTAGAACAAAAATATCACAATATTGCAATTGTAGGGAATAATCGTGATTCGCGATGTTGTTGCAATTCTGGAACATTCCAGAAACAGTTTTGAGATTTAATTTTATAAGTTCAAGCAAGCAAAGAGAAGTAAGGTACAGAGCAAACATTTAATGGTGCGTTTAAGTGGTGTCTAGCACTATTTGCTGGTGTCTAGGGCAGTGAAACACCACACACTTTGCCCGCATGTACTACAACGCTCACGTAAAAGAGGAAGACCCTATGCCTTGTGCAATATGAATTTCGCCACAGTGCTTGCCACTCTGGCTCTTCCTTGCTTGCCTAAGTATATTTCCGGCACAACATACTAAAGGTGAAAGCACAAAGTTGTCTCATAACAAGTTTCCTCTGTACCCCTTCTTTGTGGTCTAAGACTTTATCAAATTAGTGTTCAATTGAGGATTTGTGATTTAGAGGTAAATTGTAGGATTCAAAATGTTTGGGGATTTAACCATAACTAATTTGACCTAAAACTGATCTGACTACAGGTTTCTGTTGTGTTCTCGTACAACACTATAATACTAAAGTACGTACGTATAAATAACTGTGAATACACACACATGTGAAGGTGTACTAATAGTGTCTCTAGAAATGTAAAATTTAGATACAATTAGAAAAAAAAATAAAATTGACAAAATGCTTACTTGTATTTCAACACACCCTCCAACTTGGATGTCCATATGATAACAGTCTTGTCAGCACTTCCTGAGGCAAACCTCTTGCCGTCTTTGGCATAGCAAACACAATACACCGAATCCTTATGACCTAAGTGGACAAATAAAATTTGTGTGTCAAAAATAATTAGGCAAACAGTAAATTAATTACTACCTACCTAATTTATTTTCTAACACTAAGTTCATTATTACCTATGACTTTTGGTTCTAAAGTGGATATTCCATCTATTTAGACCAGTTGTAGCTAATTTTTAAAATTAAAAAAGCGTAATTTACACTCACTGAGTGCTTCTGTCAAAATTTGATTTTCACCATGCAACATTTTGGTAGGCTATTATGGTACCGCCGCATTTGATACAAAAGATAATCGGATGCTATAATTATCAATAATTTTTCTTCAACTTACTCTCTGAAAAATGTCCAAACTAGAAAGAAATCTACTCCTTAGCAAAAACAAAAAAATATTAACTTTTCAAAAAATCCATAGTTTTCAATAAGTTATCCTATCAATTTGAATTGTTCAGTTAGTGGCTAGGTCAACAGAAATTAGTAACTGATTAACTGCGTTCATTTTCATTATAAAACTGGCTACAGCTTTGATACGGGATTGGATGTCTACTCAGCTATTAATTGTTGGTGAAGCATTTCATAGCATATTTTTCAACGCGTGTACGAAAGCATGCTACAAGATCAATCTGTATCAATCTAGATAACATTCATACACTTACAATAAATCTGTTAGGCCTAATTCTCTTCCTCTTCATCGTTGGACATTAAAGTTTATTCAAAATAATTTCCATCACCACCTTTCCCATTAGCAGGTAGGCCCTTTACGTCACATTTTGGCCGTACTTCCGGTCATTTCACTGTCCGATATTTACCTTTCAGTGGTTGTATCAGGGAGCCGTTGCTGGTGTCGTAGACAAGCACTCGCTGTCCTGCGGCAACAACCAGCTGTGAGCCGTCAGGGTTGAAACACAGGTCGTAAATACTGCAAAAGAAATAAAAACCGATGTGAAGTTACGAACATTTGTCACCAGTAAGAAAATATTTCAACAAGTCAAATAGTATTTATTTTGGGGAGAAAGATAATCCAACAAAGATTGTGCAGCCAATTCATCATATGAAACTACTATAATAAATTTGTAAAATTCTTTATAGCCTAGTACAGTTTTGAAAGTCACCAGTTTTCAACATAGCCTATATTACGTTGATGTTACAAGCGTGGGCCAAATTGACAATTGTATTTAGCAAAAACGCTTTTATATCCAATATTTATATTCACTGTCGGCTACCTAAAGGTTTTTTCTCTTATAGCATGCTTGATAATTGGATCGGCTAGTTCTCGTCATCAAGTATTTAGTTCTTAGTGGTTTTCTAGAACGGGAGTCTAGAAAAATAGTAGTGGAGTCCCGATAATCCGAACTTCGGTAATCCGAAAGTCTGCTTAATCCGAAACCAAAAAATATATTTTTTTATATTATTTTATAAAAAAATTTTTTTTGAAACTATTTTGGAAATTTTTGAAGTTTTTGGGAATTTTTTTTTGAATTTTTTTTTATTAAACTTTTGACACAGTTAGCTGTACCTCGTCAACGTATTCTCTAGCGGCTGGGCGAGATAGACTTTTTTTGTAGAGTATTTTAGTAAATATTTCACCATTTTTGTAATTACTGTAACATTTTACATTTTCGTCCGCAAAATCACAAATGGATTTTATTAAGTGACTAGCTGTTGTACCCGTGCTTTGCAACGGGAAGAGGACACAAAATAGAAACATTTTAATCTTTACATCTGTTGCATATAATAGTTACACATCCGCCAACGCTTTTAAAAACAAAATTCAACTTTTATAGCCTTAATAGAAACGTTTAAGTTATATGACTTTTAAATCTGGCAAGTAGTGGATACCACCATTTTGGTTTTGATTAATTTTAAATCTTGTGTAGGCTGATATGAGAAAAACTTACCAAATCTTCGAATAAAACATTTGACATACATGATTTACCTTCATCTTACATATCTATTAATTGATTATTGGCATTTTAAATTTCAATTTTGAAGTTGCAAAAATACTAATTATTAAATTTTAATGAACATTTTGTTAAATTTCACTCTTCTTTATATTAAATCACAAATCCTTCCATGTTCACTTTCTTCAGTCACAATAAATCATTAGCAAAACTAAGTCAGCTGTTATAAACTTTAGAAATATTGCTGTGCCTTATCAATACAGTTTTTTGAAATATTAAAGAAACTATATCTAGGTACTATAAAAAATTTAAACAAATAACTGAGCATTAAAGACAGCAGACAAAACTAATATGATTATCAAAGCATCAAGGGCTAAAAACTGTAATAGCAAATACAGTATATGTTTCATTGCATCTCTGATTCTACTCTACAAAAATATCAACAAACAACTTAATATACAAACTGGTTTTTTTAATCAGTTCCATCGTCCATTGCCTTTACATTTTAACACTTACCATTAAGTAAACATAGTAACAGATATTTCATTGATTTTAGAAACAAAAGAACACTGTGTACTGCTTAGTTTTATGATATTTTCCTTGGTTTAATCTAATCAGTGGTGTGGCAAAACATAAATAATAAATGTATCAAATAAAGTAAATGTTAACTGAAAGCTATGTTAAGATAAAATAAGAGTATTTTGTATTAGCATTTGATAATTAAATATAGTTACATATATACAACAGATTTTAGAAAACAAAAATCAACGTACAATTTAGTTATTGATGATATTCTATAGTTTAATTTAAGCATAGGTTTAGCAAAACACAATAACTCAATTTACCTAAATATACTTATAAAAAACAATGTGATGTGCAAGTTATGTTAAGTTAATCTAACACATGTTAAGCAGTTAGAATTTTTTTAAAGTAGCCTCCAAATTCATATGAAACATCTATACTTTGTAATTTTAATACTGTTTCCATGAAAACATATCAATAACATTATTTTCATAACTTTTAGACGCTTTAAAAAATCCAAAGCAGAGCCGGAGTTGATACAGCAACGGTTATAGAATTCTTTTTCTATAATCATTGACATAGTTTTAGAATAAATAATCCATGATAAAAGGTTAGATTAAAATAAACGTGTCACCTCATAGTTATGGAAAATATTATATTTAATTTCTTTGTATCAGCTGTCTGAAATTGTGAAATATGCAGTTTAGCAGTTCTTCTTGTTTACATTTAAATGTCAAAGCAAATGTAAACAAACATTGTTAGTGTTCTCATCACAGCCATGGAGACCAATCAATATTTACTTTTAAAATGTTCACCTAGTAACTTTTAAAGCCAAAGGGGTAAAGCCTACGGTCAGTATCGAAATTTGAATAGTCCTATAATGGTCCTTGGTATGGTAGCTATATTTTTGTATAATTTAAGCCCAGTTGGTTCAGTAGTTTTTGTACATTAGTTTTCATTAGTAATACACATACAGACACCATTAGATTTTTATATAATAGTATAGAAGTATAGATAATGCTGCAGCCAATAGGTCCAGCCTTAAGTAATGTGAAAAACAATCCCGGGCTCGTGCCTGCGTCCGAAAAAAAGTAGTAAGAAGTAAGACAAAAAAAAAAAAAAACAAACAAATTAAAAAAAAAAAAAACTTTTAATCCGAAATATTTGGTAATCCGAAATGGGCCCGGTCCCAACCATTTCGGACTAACGGGACTCTACTGTAGTAATATTAAATCGTATTTCTATAACATATTATAGGTAACTTATGCTTTGTGTTTGTTTTGACTTCGTAATAACTGTGACTCTTTTGTCATTAAAATCATTAAGTTTATTAACCCTTCATCAATTAGAATCTACTCACCACTGTTCAACTTTATCTCTGTCTTGAACTTTATCAACCCAAGCTGGTACACATCTCATGTTGGGTTTTCAATTGAAATCTAGAAACAAAGCATAACCATAATTCCTCATTAACACCACACTTAAACCAGCTCATAAATAAATAGGTTAGGCCACCTGGATATTTAGATTTAGGCCTAGCCGTTATTAGAGTGTTCACTGTTGGTTGATGTCTGTTTAAATTGGATAAAATTACAGGTTTTTTTCATGTAGAAATTTAGGTTAGATGGTTGTGTTGCTAGCCAAGTGGTTAAGCTTAGTGTCTCGGACTTCAGTGCAACAGCAAAATGAAACAGTCTGTGTGCGTTTTCTGAACATGGCAGCAGTTACGTTTTTTTAAGCTAGGCCCATCTCACGCACTAGTCATACTTGTCACTTGTCGTTTCCCAACACACCCAGTTCCTGCACTGTGTATATTGTTCAGATTTGGTTTGAAAGGGTAACTTACTGTGTAGTTCAAAAGTATTCCATTTAATACAGTTATATTATATTCATTAACAAACGTGTGTGTAGTGTGTGTGTGTAACACCTCTATGGGACATAAGGAATAATTTCAGCACCGGGATGTGAAATACAAGTGGCTACCGTAACTTCATTGTAAATACAGTAACTGATGAGGAAAATCGGTTTTAATTTTGATACCGTAACTATTAAAGTTTGACTAAAGATATGATTAAGTTTACACAACAACCACTAACTTGTCAACAGGTCATCCTAATTCATTAGAGCCGTCCTGACAACTAGAAGTTGCATGCATTGTTCAGCGTGACACCTCCTGCGGCTAGGTTACAAAATAAAAGGTCACGGCCAAGAGTAGCTTAATAATGTTCTGCTGAACTTGAAAACCCCGAAGGTAGACTTCCGCATGAAAATATCGATCCATATATCGATTATTCGATATATTGTTTAGTTAGTTAGGTAAGGTTAACCTAACCTAGCTAAACAAACGATATATCGAATAATCAATATTTTCATTTGGTTGTTTGTGCCAACAGATACGGAAGTCTACCCAACCCCGAAAAGGCTATACTTACAGGCTACTAGGGAGTTATTTAATTAAAAATAGTAGGTTGAATGCAAGTTAAATTAATTTTTAGGTTAGCCTACCTATATTCTGAAAATTGTACAAAATTAAAGTCTGATATGATTTAAACCAAGTTTTGGCATCATGATAGCTAATCAAAAATAGCATATTATATTTTTATTTTTACCAAGTCGTAAAATTACTTAAACCACCTAGATTGCTTGCTTATGCCTAGCCTAATTACCGTCATGATTAAAATGAAAGTTAACACAATGTCTTACTTGATCAGTGATCTAATGGATTTATTAAACTATCCACATTGTATTGATAAGAATATGCTAACACAGAAACTTGGTAGTTTTTTGCAAACATATTAGTCAAAACGTCAAAATTAACGAAAAACGCAAAATCAAGACAAAGTTTGAAGTTTCACATTCTGTTTACGTTTCTGGAGGGTTGTTACCCGGTGACAGACAGTTGTTAACAGAACAGACGAAATGACATTACAGTGTTGACAACTATACGAAAACAAAAAGTCTGACTTACCTTCCATTGTGTTGGTCGGTGGGGCACACGGAAGATTTTTCAGGTGCCGTTTGACGTCACTAACTGCTGCGTCTGAAGAAACGGACAATTTTATAATTTTTCTATTATTAAATTAAACTGTCATAACCTAACCAAACTTACCAAATGTGCTGATAATGAAAAAATCGAATGAAGGTTTACTAATCTAAAAAATAGTTTTGTTCATAAAATAAAATTATAAATGCCTAAAATTCAACTTTATAATTTTTTAATTTCATTTGATTTAATTTTTAATTATAAAATTAAACTGTCATAACCTAACCAAACCAACCAAACTTGCTAATATGAAAAAAATGTTGACAAAAAGTTAATGCTACCAGCGGGATTCGAACCCGGTTCATTCGGATTATCGGCCCGACACGCTAACCACTACAACACAGAGGCCGATGGCTCAATACTGTATCGTTGCGGTAATAGTGTTCCCTCCACTGACGTCAGCAGTTAGTGACGTAAACGGCACCTGAGAAATCTTCCGTGTGCCGTTTCGTTGTGTTGGTAGTGACAGCATAGAAATGACAAAGTACCTAACCTTACTTCTCTTCTCAATGTTTCCTGAGGAATAAAAGGGCGCTCGTTCAAACTGCCTTAACTTATTAATTTAATTAAAAGTGAAACGGAAATAGTATTTATTAGGCCTAATAGTATTTATTAACAAGAGTAGAAAGTGAGTCTTAGCCTATATTCGAGTACAGCATATTCTAGAGTTGTTTGTTTTTGAAGTTTTCTGAAAAGCAGTGTCCTGGAGAAACGCTGCATGGATCAAACATCAAACAGGCATTTTTATTTATTTATTTATCTTCTTTCTTCTTTTAGTAATTTCACCATCCTGTACTACACTACAGGTCTCAATTTGATGTGACTATCGCCTGAGTGAAGTGTTTTTTACGGAGATTATCATGGGATTCATGGACATTGGACAGTGGATTTCCAATTCTTCCTTCAAATAAAATATCCTTATATTTCAGGATGAATTCAATGTATCAACCAGTATCAATGTACAGGTACGTTTTAACCCTGCTACAACTGCTAATATCTAGGATTGCTTCAGCAGGGGTATATTGTTTTCCAGCTTCGGCTGGGTTGGTGTATTATTCTTGTATTTTTTTGCTTCTCACCTGAGCAGACAGGATTAGAGGTTAGTTAGAGGTTAACTGAAGAAAGGTCCGTGATAGTGTTCGGACATCGATAGATCACCATCGATGTTACCATCGATAGCAACATCGAACTATCACCATCGATGTTGCAAAACATCGGTTCAAAAACATCGATATTTTCATGCGAAAAACATCGACGTTTTCAACTTAATCATATCGAAGTTTATAATCTCAGTATTCCGTTATTCATTAAAAAATGCGTGAATACATGTTAAAGTCAACGACCTTTAAAACGTCCAAGTTGGATAATTAGCCTACTCTTTGACTTTATAACTTCTTGATTAGCATTTTACACGTGTTGTTAATTACTGGATGTACTACTGGATGTATTACTGGACATCTAGTCTTTGACTTTGGTATTCCATATTCAAATGCAATCAAAAATATGTGTTATTACATATCATATGTAGGCCTATGATAGTACAATGTAGTACTATCCATACATATGATAGTACTAGGTACATTCTTTCTCATTTTGAATGAGAAACAAGTATTAACTTGATAAATATTTATATTGTAAAGAGCTATAAAGTTTTAAACTGTGACTTTACGATCTATGACAAACAGCTTCAGCCAAAAAAAACATCGATACCAAAACATCGATGGTAGTAAAACATCGACTTTCTAACATCGATGGTAAAAACATCGAGCATCGACCTCCGAACATCGATATTTTGAAAACATCGATGTTCGATACCGAACACTAGTCCGTGAAGCCCTAAGTTAGCCTCAAGGATTTTCATTTCATTACATTTCAGATTCCCGAAATGCTTTGAAAAACTTTTGTTTTTACTTTCTCTGCCCATACATACATAGTACAGTACATGGAGAAAGTATTGTTTTCCTGAACATTTTTCGGGTAGAAATAACAGAATAATAAATGAGTTTTCAGTCCCCCTGAACCCAAAAAGTGGTTTTCATAGCGATGTCAATAGTATGTGTGTGTACAGGCAACAGAGCTAAAGACTACACCTGTGGCCGTGGCCCGATTTTCAGAGCTTTGCAAACACTGCTTTAACTATTTTAATTTGCACACTATTTTAACTTGCAAACACTGTTAAAATATGAATGCTTTTACCCCTCCAGGACAATATATTTTGCTCTAAGCAATCAATATGTTTGTAAAAATCAAATGATATTTTTGGAACTATAAAAATAGTTTTCATTTTCACAGGACATTTTATGAAGATACAAATAAAAAAAATCCTAGTCAAAGATTAGCTTTAAATCATAATTAACAATGATTACCATTTGTATATAGGCCTACAACTGTATAAGAAACCATCTTATTGTTTTGCAAGTGAAAGTTTAATTACAGACAGAATAAAAAAGCACGATTAAATTTTAAAGAACCAAATAATTTAAGATTACATGCAATTCCTCAGATAAATCATATAACCTTTGTATTTTAATTTACCAAAACCCAAGATGGCCTAGGAAGACCCTGAGTTATCGGTAAACAGAGTTTTTCAATAAACATGGCTTTTTACAACTGTAGATAAATAAAATCAGAAATTTTGTCGGCAGTCTCTTCAAATGTACCAACTTTCCCAGTTATAAAACATGGACACAGTTGTTCAGGAAATGGAAAAGATATTTAAAATTCAAAGATTTATTACTGAAATAATAAATTTAACAGTATTTAAACTGTTTGTATAAACACAAAGTCATCATAAACGGGTAAAAAATTTTCATTCATAATCATATAATTGGTAGACGAAACTATTTACATATACTTTACTAATATGACATGACATTTATCAGTGTTTTGGAGTTATTTCCCAGCAATTACACTATCACCTCCTCGGTTCTTCGGCCACTATTTGTTCAAGGCCTGATAGGTTATCAAGTAGTCGTTGTTTAATAGCATTTTGCTACCTTTTGCAAAGTCCCTTCTGTTCATTGTCATATTGTTATTCTAAATTAAGCCAGTATTCATGGAATACATTTTTAACTCGTAAATTGTGAGTTTTTTAAAATGTTGGAGAAAAAGGAAAAATGCCCAGAAAATGGAGGAGTCGGGTTGAAACGGGAGATTGGACTGATTAGTGCAGTGAACTTTTTAATAAATTATATCATAGGTAAGATGTGTAAGGTGTTTCAACAATAGGTTATTAGTTTTATTTGTTTTGTTTCAGTTTTTATACATACTGATATTGTTTTCAGCCTCTGGAATATTCATCACGCCAGGAAAGTTGTTGGCAGAATGTGGATCTGTCGGGATGATGTTGACTATGTGGGTCTTGTGTGGATTTATTGCATTCTTGTGTGAGTTTTTTACTTTTGAAATTATGTAAGAATTTACCAATAAAATTATTTTATTTTTATTTTAATTTAATAGCAAAATTATAAACCTTAAGTGTAAATATAGGCCTAATTTTGTTGAATCTTACCTCAATTTCTTTTTGTCTGTCGGTATGACACCTACTTATAATGGCAATAATTTATTCTGAGAAAACTAGGGTTCTGATCTGAGGCTATTTATATTTTATAAAAAAACACACTTTATTAATATCCTTGCAGCAGCAAACCTAGGTACTCGTTAAACCTAATGTTATTTAAATAGATTTAATTGAAAATCAATTTAGACAAATGGAAATTCGCTTAGTCGGCAGGTTTGCTGCGGCGGGGGTATTTTGCACTTAAGTTTAAATGTAAGAGGTGTTAACATTAAAGTTTGTATAGTATAATGAGAAAATTTAGTCCTAGATACCTCAAAACAACATAATTAAATTTTAGATAGACTCAACCTATTTTTTAAAAATAGTTTTATTTACTTTCTATAATGCCGCTTTTGCATTTGAAACAATAAAACTTATTGTCACCTTCTGTTTCATCAGCATGTTTACCATTCGGGGAGCTCAGTACTGTGGTACCAAAGTCTGGCAGTATCTACATCTACCTCCACGAAGCATTCAAAGGGTTCCATCCATTCTTCGGTGGACTTCCCTCGTTCGTCTACTTCTGGGTGTCTTACATCATCGTAATGCCAGCCTCGGCAGCCCTGAGCGCAATGTTGTTTGCGGAGTACTCGGTAATCATCATCCGACTGATCTGGCACGAGGATTGCCTCCGAGATGAAAACGCTTGTCTTCGTGCAAAGTATTTTTTGGGAGGTGGTGCTTTAGGTGGGTTTGAAAAAGATTTGGTAATTAGATTTTGTTAGAAATTGATTGATATTTGGCAACTGTGTTTCATTTCCAAAAATGTTGAACTTAGGTTCCAAAATGTGTTAAGTTAAGGTTTTAACTACAATTAGCTGTATGAGCAGTTTATACGACTACTGTTCCCAATTGAGATGGGTATGCAACTGTACATTTTTTTACCCTAATACGCAGAGGTGTAGGGGAGCAGGAACGCAAGGGAACGGTGTTCCCACTCAGCTTTTTCCAATTTTTTTTGTCGTAAAACGCTAGGCTCTAGCCCATGATTGTTTTTCACATTACTGCAGGTTAGACCTAGGGGTTGCGGCATCATCACATGGATAAAATCAAAATCCATTGGCGATTTGGCAGGATTTGAACCCGGGACCTCAGGGACCGAAGTCCCTCGCTGGACAAGCTTGCTCCCCCCAGCTTTTTCTTATAGTCCTATATATTAATCATATATCTTAGTCAGTTCCAATGATTAGCATTCCCACACTGAATATTTTACGACTCACTACTAAAATGAGTAAAGGTAAAGCTTATACTTTTACATCATAGAACACAGATAGTTGGTTAAAACTTATTTAGAGAATAGATTGGAATTTTTCAGAGTTTAACGTCTTCATAGGAAGTAAGTTATCTCCTGAAAATTAGAAAAGAAACTGATTATCAAAGTTTCCAAGTTTATTTACTCAATTTTTACACTCTCATTTAACACAGCACATTAAATAAAAAAATCTGAATTTATTTTTCAGTTTTGATTGGCGTCGTTAACTGTATCAGTGTCAAGCTGTACATCAAATCGCAAGACATACTTACATATATTAAGATGAGCTGCATCGTGTTCATCATCGGCTGTGGGTTCTACATGTCTGCTTCAGGTGTGCATTGTACAACATAACAATAATTTAAGCACTTTGACTACAAAATACTTCAGTTAGTTTCCTTGTATTTGTTATATATTTAATGATGAAATCATAGAATAACTCTTTTGCTGAAAAAATTAATATGAACTCGGAACTTTCATTCACCATTGATTAGATTTTTGGAAGTCAAGAATTTTATTGTCGTTGACCTTTCTTCCTACAAAGAAATAGACGTAAGTAAAAGCACTTGGCTTTGGAATACATTGGGGAAGTATGAATGGATTCACGACAAACTTAAATAAGAGCTCCAAGGGTTTGAAAGCACATATAAAGTTCACAACTCGGTAGATGTTTTTCTTCTTCCTTTATAAGAAACCCCTTGTAGTGGCAAAATATCAAGTTACTTGCGTTGTAGGCTTTTTGTGTGCTTTCACATACAGAACTCATATCATAGGTATTTTAAGTTATTTTTTAATTCATTCCTTCATCACCTAATGCATTTCTTTCACCATAATTGTATTGCAATGTGAATTAAGCTTTGTCATATAATATTTGAAACAAATAGTTGATTAAAGATACCCTAAGATAAATTCTTATAATGAAGAAATTCCTAAGGGATTTTGGGTTCATTTACAGGAAATAAATCTCACCATTCACGATGAGACATATTTATCTAAAATTTGTATGTGATCAGAGAAATTTTTAGTGGTGAAACGTGTTTTTCAAACATATTGTATGTATTTTTCAGGCAAGGCGAAAGATTACGACTCCAGTTTTACTGGGACACATCTATCCATAAAGAGATTAACGCAGGCTTTGTACTTTGGGCTTTACGCTTATGATGGCGGGTATGACACCAAATCACACTTGATTAATTTATAATATCCATACAAAATGTTTTTAAACTTTTATCACAAACTTCAGAAAACTATTCCTTTGTAACGCAATGGACAACAGAGTAGGCTTTATGATCTATTTACATTCGTTTGTTTATGGGGTACTTAATTGAAAAAATATTTGTATAAACTATTGGATGAATATCAATGCAATTTAAAATATATTTTATTTATAAATCACAGTTTTTAGAAGTGTACCGGTACAAAGAAATGTTTTTGATTGAATCAGTCAGGACTCTTCCTCACTACCGCCTTTAATTTTCCATGTCAAACTTATGGACAAGTAATTCTATCAACTAGTAAAAAATCCAATTAATGTTTTACTAGTGTACCTGTTGCTCGAATTCGAGCAATTGCAAAGTATTACAGGCGTTATTTTAACCCTTAGAGTGCCAGGCGAGAAATAAAAGTAACGCTCAAAAAATGCCGATGATTTTTCCCGAAGGTCGCGCTAAAAATGCCGAGCACAATCTGGCGATTTTTAGGTTAAAATTTCGTAAAAATCGAATTTTTGATATTTAGACCAACGAAAATCGATGTATCGCATCTAGTAACTTTCGACTCAATGTTAATATATGGGTTAAAAGAATCCGAGTATCCATTCGGTTGTTATGACAACTGTTCGATCATTACGAAACGTCCGGTCAGCCGGACGTTGGCACTTTTGGCTCGTTCTAAAAACGTCCGGTCGGCCGGACGTCGGCACTTTTGGCTCGTTTTAAATACGTCCGGTTCCCCGGACGTTGGCACTCAAAGGGTTAAAACGAATAACAGTCATAATTTTTGATGACTTTATAAGAGTGGACTCAAAGATTATGGAAATACTCACGATGTGTACAGTTAGACATAATCAGATTTTTTTGTAAATATCTTATCTTTTTTCAAAAGTTGATCTTGTTTTTTAGTGTTTTCTACAAATGTTTCCCACTCATAGCCGCAAAGCTCGCATTAGGTTGCCTGTAATAACGATTAGATTATAAATGAAAAAAAAACATTATTTGTGTTTCTTCTACTTGGTTGTGTTCAATGACGTTTCTATGTTTCCATTGTTTCAAATCGGCTCTTTCAATGATTGCTCAAGGAATGTAGCACAGTGTTAATTCAGGTTTATTTTTAGTATATCAAATTGTTTAGAATTTCTTGCTTTTTCCATTGTAATAACTACACCAACCCAAGTACCGTCTACAGATGCAATACGCCAAAGAATATCGTGTACGTACAACACGAATAAGTACAATCTCCAAGAAGTGATAAAAAAGGCAGAAACCAACCCATACAATAGATATAAGTTTACTACTGTGATATTTTCCACTGATTTGGTAATAGAACATTATACAGTATTGCAAAACATGACACGATGCAAAAGAAAATGCATTTTAAAATCTGAAAAAAAAACATTGCAAATACTTCATTTTGACAGATTCAGTAAATCACAATTTAAATATTAACTAAATATTTAAATATTTAAATATTAATTTAAATATTAGTTTCATTAAGTAAGAGTAGTGAAAATTTATGCATACGGTCGTAATGTAAACAAATCTGAAGAGTGAACTTTAAAGGCCTCTGGGGCAGAGCACCAAGGGAATTTACCTCGTTTCTCTTTTGATGGCTCATCTACAGACCAAGACCTTTCTTTAGAGACCCCTACCGAGTTTCTACGCCCAGCCGTTCTCTCAAATTAGCTGTCACAAAGAAAAACAGTTTCAAATTAATATATAGATGCATTTGTGAAATTGAATTTTACATCATTGCCCTACCAACAATTTTGTTTAACTTAACTGCTTTTTTTTATAAACAGTGCCTAGTAACACTTTTTTGTGTTTTTCAGATGGGCTATAACAGGTATTACTGAGGAACTGAAGAACCCAGAAAAGTGAGTACTATTGTTATTTGTGTTACTAGTGTGCAAAGTGGCACTTTGCTGCACATGTGAGAAATGTTCACACACGAGCCGCAGGCGAGACTATAAAGCATAGAAATAATTAGTCTTTCAAACACTAAACGACACGTTTTAGGTCATGTTAAACCCAAGCTGAACGAAATGGGAAACACTGGAACAATCGTAGTCGTAGTATCTAATTGCTGCCGACTTATTTTCAAGCGTACACGTATTACGTGCTGTGCCTAATAAAAGCACACTGTTTTGCGTTGTTTGGTGGAATAACTGGAGTGCGGCAAAAACATTTTGTACGCAAAAGTAAAATGAGTGGGACAAAAGTAAGTAAATGCAGCAACTTTGACAAATCTCAGCTGTTGAGCTATGTTGTAATGGTAGGATCAAGACGTGGGGATATATTTCTTCCCCTAAAAGCACCTAAATTTTGTGAATGGAGGATAGTACCAAATTTGTAAGATATATTTTTGACTTTTGTGTCTTGATTTTTCAGAAACATTGTGTTCAGCATCCTGATAGCTCTCACAATATCTACTGTCACTTACCTCTGCTTGAACCTGACATTCTTGACGGCGCTGACACCGGAACAGATGTCAGATGCAACGACTGTCATTGCTGTGAGTACAAAGCTTTCCACGCTTCTCTATAATAGATAATTGAAAGGGTAGAAGCTTTGATTATTGATAGAGAAATTCTTTCTTGTGGTGAAGTTGTAGCAATAGTTTTAGAAGAAAATGTAACGTAGTCAAATCGATTACACTGACAGAATTCACTGATGTAAATTACTGATTCTGTTGAATACTTCAGATTTTAAACAAACCAAACTGAAGGAAAATTTATTGTTGACTGCAATATATTTTATGTAACATCAACTATCACAGTAACAAGAACTACGTGGCAAATATGGTTTTAGAATACTGAGTGTGGCTCATTCAATTATGTTCTTTTTAATACACAAGGCAACAGCTGGTCCATATGTATAGATGAGATTTAATGGGCTTTCTATCCCTCCCATCCCCCCCCCCCCACCCCTTGGACCACCACTGATGAACTTATATCAACACTTCTTACCCATTTAAAAAAAATGGTGTGGTTCCATTTTCAAGAAATGTATTTTTCAGGACTTCACCCATGAAATGTTTGGTCCGAGTGGTGGAGGTATAGCCGCAGGAATCATCTGTCTTTGTCTGCTTACCAGCATTATGTCCAACGTTTTCTACTCGTCGAGGTAGCACTTTAGAGCACTAGTAATATTGTAAATAATTCATTCCTTGCTTAGTTATGTCACAAAGCCAAAAAGTCAGTAATTACTAATTACTCATGAACCTGATAATTAGCCAATTAGTTCTTTGTTTTAAGTTCATTTAATGTGATGGATGGTGGGCTTATGGTGTTTGAGGGATTAACCATAATTTTCCGTTATATTTGTTGCTATCACTAACCAAATTTTTTTAGTACTGTTTTGAAAACCTTTTTTACAGAATAGGATATGTCGCTGCAAGAGAAGGTCATGTTTTTGAATTTCTATGCTACATTCACAAGAAACTTCAGACACCGGCCCCTGCGGTAATATGTCAGGTAAGTTGATGACTTTTTCAGCAATATGAGGCATAGGCTCATGCTTAAGTGTCTTCTGAGGTAGTATAATGACAAAAAACATATTTTAATTTTGTTTCCGACATTACAAATTTACTTAAAAAATGTCAAATTTACAACAAGCTATGATCAAAATTACTAGCTTCAACATAATACTAGATTACAGCTCAAAATATCTTTTACATTTCGCCTATTGGGTCTGATGATGATTGGAGTGTCCAATCTAAATCGATCACCACTTACCATCTTTTGTATATTTACCGTCTTGTGAGTAACAGTATAAGCGTAAATATATGTTTTAAGTGTTATAAGACGTATCTTTATTTACTTTCCGTAAAATATATTTTATGTTGTGTTTGATTTTCAGATTGTACTGTCCCTCATATATTTCTTTGTTGGAGGAAACATCACATTACTCGTCGACATGTGTGGATTTTTCATGTGGATGTCGTACGGAATCACAATGGTAGCTCTGTTTGTCTTAAGGAGTAAACTGCCAGACGCATACCGTCCTTTCAGGGTAGGTTGTTGTGTTACACTCAGTTGATGACAATCTAAACATATGCAAGTTTAATTTATCGTAGTATCCATTAACGTCATAAAAAGTCTTGAGCTATGAACTTCTTGTTGAAATAATAAATGCAATCAGCTGATTCAATTAACAATGAATACAACCCACTAATATTAGAACAGAAAGCCGTATGAATCATAAACATAAATAAATGAAGTGACTGGCCCAAATCCTATACTAATAACATTAACATATGGTTTGTATGGTTCCATTTAAGTAAATGTTAAATAATGTTTACTTTCAGGCTAGTGACATAATTTGTTTATGTTTATGATCCATACTGTTTCTGTTCTAATACTCGAGATACGACCTCAAACTTCTTTGTCCGTCACTTAGCTCCAACTGTTAGAAAATTTTAAATAATACTTTCCTCAGCACATCATCTCGCATAAGGTATAAATAGTATTTTTAGTCCACAAATTCTTAGAACCAGTTTTTAACCGGTATATAAGAAATCTGATACTTTTTGTGATAATTGGGCACTACTTACGTTTAACCTTTTCTTGTTGGGCTGATCTTTTCTAAGTTTGAAGTCAATCGCTGTAAGGGTTCAAAAGTTTTGGCTACATTTGTAAAAACCTGTAAATTATAACACTTCAAAGTCAAACATCAACTTACAGTATCAGCTGTTGAGACTAATTTAATTGATTAAACAATGAGTGAGTAGCAGACAGAAAACCATGTATTTTAGACCCACGTTCATATGACTTTTTCATTGTTTTGACCTAAAGGAACATGCACAAAATCTTTCCAGGGAGTTTTTTAGACTCCTGTCTACAGAAAAATATGTCGTTCCAAAGTAACGTACGGCTGATCTGGGGTCCTTCCCCACTTAAATTTGCAGAGAATTTTGAAATATTTAAGTCAACTATCCAAGTGGAAAAAAACTATCCTAGCATCTTGGTTCCAGCATAATATGAAGGACATCATCTCTTTTCAAGCATGAGCTTACTTAGTCTTGCCTGATCCTTCATGCTTTTGAGGAACATGGGTTTAGCGCCAAAAACTGTGACCTAAGTCGGATTTGAATTTGACATTAGAAACTACAATGGACTGTCAATCCTTTTCCTATCCCTACAAGCTATCTCATTGCAGTATAACTGTACAACTTTTCAGGAAAGGATACAGTGGCTAGATTTTCTAGAGCTTAATTCACATCTGATTTTTTACATATTTTCCATAGGTTCCATCAGCCATCCCGATCCTAGTCGCCGCAGTGTCTGTGTTCCTCGTTGTGGAATCAATCATGATAATAGACATTGTCCTTCTTCTGGTGTTTGCTGCTCTCGTAGCATTCATAGTCTTTGTTTACTACATCTTTATCTACAGGGCTTTCAAAATCGAATCTCTGAGTGAGTATACTTATGCCTTTTACTATTGATACTTCTGTTATTGACAAAATAAGTACTATTGCATTCAAGCATCTCTATGCAATGAGGAATGTCCCGCTCCTTTACTGGAGCATAACTATACTCTGTTAAAAAAATGTAGGCGGTTTTAGGGGAAGAAATTGACCCTCTCCACTTGAACCTACATTTAAAAATAATAGCTTAACAGCTGAGGTTTGCCAAAATAAATCAGCTGTGTCATAAGTAGAAAAAGTAGTGGAGAAACTTCCCTTCAAACCGCCTAAATTGTGAACGAAGATTAGTTAATTCAAGGTCTGTCTATTTGAATGAACAACTTTCGAGAGATTTTTAAAAATAAATACCACTGAGCTTTGTTTTGTTGCCTGGATAAAGTGACACAAATAATTTATTTGTATTCATCATAAACTCCCGAAGGAAGGGAAACCTTTTGAGAATTGTGTTTATCGATATTTTTTAGCAAAGCAAATAAAAGTGTTTACATGTTACAGATAAATGGCAGAAAAAAGTGCAAAACTCCTTGTCTCTGGTGCCTCCAGCAGGAGAACTTAAACTGTAACAATACTATAAACACTCCACTTTTCTGTGACCTCTCTTTCTATAGAGAATATTTTTATATTTTAGACTTTAAGGCACAAATGTCAAACAAATGCTGTGTAATGTATAGCTGTATAGGTTGTATGGAAAATTCTCTAAAGGGGGAAGGGAAAGAGAGAGACGGTGGAGAATGGAATAGAGGGTCATAACTACCTGTAAGGGATGGTCTGATTCCTCAAGTTCTAGAAATTGATTAATAATGAAAAATATTTTAACTATACAAACAGACAAAATTGTAAATAATTAAAAATAAATCCGTAAAATAATTTGTATCCTATATTTTGGATACTCCCCTTTATCTCATCTACAGTTTTAGGGTAACCTGCTTGTTGGATTGAGAAAAGTAAAAATATTAAAATGATAAAAAATAAACCATGTTAACATGAGCAATAAAAACAATGTACCTAATGAAAAAGTAAACAAAAAGAAATAATAACATATGACAATTAATACACACACACACACATGATAGAGACAGTTCAAGGGGAAAAGTCTTAAAGTCTTCAACACTGCTAATGGTTACATTACCAGTTTAGTCTGTTTTAGTCTTGCAATATAATCAGACTAAAGTTTAGGGCGACCGTTTTGGTCGCCCTAAAACTGTTCGGGAATATGTCATACAAGTTAAGAAATAGGTACACATGTAAAATACTTAAAGCACCCCACCATCTAAAACAAAATTTCTTTGACATTATATTTTTGTAATTGATTAAGTAAATTCTAAAATTATTTCAACCTGTTAAAATAATCCAGTTACAAGTTCTGTGATATCGAGTTTCATTCTGTGGTATTTTTCACAGTGGATGAGAAATACGTCATAGTAGAATGTATTTATTTTGTGATTTTTATTTGTAACTAGACATAAGGAATATTTTTAAGGGAAAGGTTTATTCTTACCCTCCTTTGTAGTTTGATTTGATTTGTAAATTGTATTATTAATTTGAAATGTAACTTTTTGGAAGGATCAAATTAAAAACAAGAAATCAAATAATAACATTTTATACTCATCCATGGCTGGTCAATATTCTCATATTCCTAAGTTTTCTTCTGTTGTTATTTTAAAAATAGTTTGATCAGAATTTTCGATTGCATTATCTTCTTAGTGACATTATATTCACTATAAATAATTAAATTTTCATATTAACAGTTAACTAGTGTACCTGTTGCTTGAAATCGAGCCATTGTCAAGTACCGGTATTATACAGAAGTTATTTTAAAACTACAGTAATAACAGTCATAATTTTCGATGAGTTTAAAGGACCCGACTAAATGCTTATGTAACTAATTGAAATATTAATACTATTTAATAGCGCTTTGAAATAATAAACGCTTCTTGTAAAAATATTTTAGCATTTTTTGGACCCGGCCTTATTTTTTAGTGTTTTCTACAAATTTTTCCCGACTTAAAGCTGTTACCAGTAAAAATTTCTTGCATGTATTTATTTGATCTGACTTTAGGTAGGTTTAATTTACCACTGTGACAACATGATGTGTATATTCTTAATGGTTTTTTTTTTACTTCCAAAATAAGTTGCTTAGCATAACTGGCAAAAATGATTCATGTCTCCAAGTAATTGTGTACCCGGATTCCTTACTGTGAGACCAGGCCTCTCCTCTACTCTTCTCATACGTATTAAGATTTCCTATTAATTGTCTCCTCCTCCAGTTTTCAATATTTCTCCTTTAAACTCAAGAAATTGTCTGTTCTTCCAACAAAACTGATTGACTGTTTAGATTCGTCTATAACCTCCTAAATATTACAAACATCAATATTTACTTCCAAAAAGCTGTTAGTTTCTTTTTATATATAGCTGTTTTTGTTTTTAAATTTGTTTTCAATGTAATTCTTATGGGGAAAATGCGACCTTTGAGAGCGTCTCGTGCTCTTAAGGGTAAGAGTTTTGTAAATTCTAAAACCTTTATGCAAAACTACAAATTGGGACAAACTATTTGACACCTCTAACTTTAAAACCGGTCCAGAAATAACAGAGGAGTTTTGTTCACAAAAAACAGCCCTCACTTGTTAATCTAAGAGATGAATTTACATGTTTTACAAACAAGACATTAAAAGTGATTGAATGAATTCAATCGGATAGCTCTTACAACTGACATTAACATCTTCAATACAAGTGGGACAACGTTTACTGTACTGTGACAATGCCAAACAAATGCCTTCTCGAGATAGAATCAATTTTTCTTTAATCTCGTTTATGCTTCTTTTGGTCTAGAAAGCAAATTTTGTGTAAGAACTACAAGCATTCTTTTGTTATTAATACACCATTGGTATTGCAAGAATAACTTCAAATTTTTTAATATTTCTTATGTATTTTATAGAATTACAGAAAAAATTAAAATTGTCTAATTGAACTGAGTTAATTGTGTTTGCAGCTAGATTTCAAAGCTTTTGTAATTTTTTATGTAAACATTACTTTAGTGAAATCCAGAGGAATTCTCAGATTTGTACGAAAGTGGATTGTATTTCAAACCTTTTTTTACGCAGTTTTCTCGAAAAAAACACTTTTCAGGATTATTCCTCAATAGAGGGCTACTGTTATAACATGTTGAATGTGCCGAGTGAGGAGTTCAATCCTGATAAGACGCAGGTTGTTCCGAGGACTCGGAGAACGCAATCATTGGATGATGAAGTCAGATCCATCCACTTTGAAAGAGAACTGTCGTTCGTTAGTGCTGTCAACTTCATCCTCAACTATGTCATAGGTAATGTAACAGTTTATATTCTCTAGGTGAGTGGTTGTAGTGAGCTTGCCTAACAATCAAAAGGTTACTGGTTCGATTCTGTGAAAAGTGAGTACCTTTTTGGGGTAGAAAACTAGACACAGCTGTCCTTGACCTTTAAGCTTTAAATAAATGGTCTTGACTAGTAAAACAGCTGGTTTTAGTCAGTAAAAAAGTTAAATGGCATCTCATTCTACACTTATCCTTCACTCATATTTTGGTTAAAATACACACTTAGTTGGTGTACCTAACTCAATTGGTACAGTGGCGGATCTAGAGCAGAGCAACCCCCCGAATATTGTGACATATTATTTTATGCATCGTGTATTCACTACTGTATTACATGCAGTAAAAAAATACATATATGTATGCCCGAGGGGGGCGGTCGCCCCTTTTCCTCCCCTCTGGTTCCGCCACTGAATTGGTAATAATAATAGTCATTTGTTAAATGATTTAATTTCCATACACAAACCATTATTTACATAAACATATACTGTTTACACTAACAGTCACACATAGAGGCCCTGGTCCAAAGATGGTGTAAGCCTATACTCAGGTAAGGACGGATCACAAACAGTCCCGGCGATGAGTGGTTCGATCGGAGAGAAGAAAACACGAAAATTGTAATCCGTGTAGTTCAAACTGGAGAAGAGATGAACAGGCATTCTGTCTGAGATCACCCACAAAGTTCGTAAACTGTCTACTCTGATATCACTGGGAAATATCAACCGTTCCTCGTCTTTCATCAAAGTGAGTAAATTCTCATTGCGGTAAGGTTTGGAGGAGTCCCAGCATGCAACAGAGGACTTGTCTATGGAGTTGTAGAACAAGACTCCGTGATCGTCCATTACGTGAGTGGAGACATGGCCGGCCGAACCTCTGGTTGGCAGGAGGTAGAAGTCTCGGAAACTGTTGTCAACTTTGGTCTTGTTCTGAAGAACTTTGGTGGAAACGTAAAAATCCCTGAAAAATTAGCTTTGTTACTCATTTTTACATACTCAGTATTAAGAGACAGTATAATTTGTACACTTGTGCATAGCTAAGCTAATTAATGGAAACTAATCACAAAATATATAGTTTTAAAATAATAATTAAAAAGAAAAACTGTTTCAAATTAATATACAGTGTGTAAATTAAGTATTGAAACAAATCTGTATTTTTAAAACTGAAATAGATAGAAATATTCTGTTTGTGGCAAAAATTGTTAACAAAGGTTCCGCAGTTTTTTACATCAAAAATATTTTTTAACCCCCCTAACAGGGTGGTGGGTAGGGGGTGACTAATTTTTTCAAATAGCAACCCCTATTGAGTGACCCCTCATTTTGAAGGATTTTTCAAAGAAACACAATGAAGCAAACCCGAGGTGGATATCTCACCCCTAGCCGAAATGGCAGACATTCCAAAATTTGATTTACTGTATGTGAAAAAGCACCAATTTCACAAATAATGGAAATAAATATGTAGGCCTATTTTAAAAATCGGAATAGATAGAAATATTCTGTTTGTGGAATTGATTGTTAACATAGGTTCCGCATTTTTTTTTTATCAACAATATTGTTTCAACCCCTTTAACAGGGTAGGGGGTGGGGGTGACCTATTTTTTTCAATAACAACCCCTATTGAGTGACCCCTTGTTTTGAAGGGTTTGTTAACAGAAAAACAATGACGCAAACCCGAGGTAGATATTTCACTCCTAGCCTAAATGGCGGGTATTCCGAAATTTAATTTTTGTAAAAAGCACCCGTTTTGGAATATCCGCATCTTTGGCTAGGAGTGAGATATTCACCTCGGATTTGCGTCATTGTGTTTCTTTTCTCAAACCCTTCAAAATGAGGGGTCACTCAATAGGGGTTGCTATTTGAAAACATCTGTCACCCCCTACCCCCTACCCTGTTAAGGGGGTTAAAAAATATTTTTGATGTAAAAAAATGCGGGACCTTTGTTAACAATTATTGCCACAAACAGAATATTTCTATTTATTTCGGTTTTTAAAATACAGATTTGTTTCAATACTTAATATACACACTGTATAGACACTGTATACCAATTTTTGGATGAACGACTCTTCAAAATTCACCTGTCATTGGTTGCTTGGATCGATATTATTTGAATAGATTAGTGACAAATGCTATTGTTGGGTGTCAGAGAGAAGACACTAGCATGAGTCTTATGAATTCTAGTGAAACTGAATACAAGTTTACTTTATGTATACTGTTGTGGACTTTTAGATGACAGTAATTAAAACAATTATGCAAAATCTTTAAATTCAATCCAATGATTAATAAAAAAATAGGTTATCCGAAACCAGTGCTCAATTTGTAAAAGATAAGGTCTCAGAACTGTAACCTATTTAATGGGATTAATACCTATTTATGTACCTGTTTATACCAATATTTTTATCTTTCCGAATGAGAGGTCCGCCATGTTCCCCCGCAGATCGAGCGCTGTCTGAAACAGCTCCACCCCTTTTATTTTGGTTAGGGTTTTTGTGTAGATCTAAGTACGACTGTGACTCTACATAAAGAACGCTAACCTGTAGCTGGACAGTGGATGAAAGAAGAGCGTCTTAAGCCCGTTGGAGTGGGGAGGACTCAAAGCCAGCCCAAACACTCCCTCGTTGCTCCATTGGTAGTTGACTCCTCCGACAGTGTAGTCGCCTGCCAGGGGGTCAGGCATGAAGTAGCCATGTTGGAACCGCCAGGAGTCGTTGGCCTGCCAGGAGTAGACTATGAGACCGTAGCCTAGAGCGTCGGCCAGGTAGAGATATGAGTTCTCACAAGAATCACCGACGTCCACTACCAGGTTGGGGATGAAGGAGTTGCTGTTGGTATCGTCCTTCCTCAGGTTGTACTTCCTCAGTCTAGTGTTTGTGTGGAGATCGAACACATGGATGGCGAGAGGACACAGCTGCTTGGTTGAGTTACCTGCAAATCATATGATTATGAAGCAACACTTGGTTCATAAGCTACATTTGTAACCATTTACAGATTTGGACTGTTCCCTTCCAAAAACTTTAAACATGACAAATGCGTAGGGTAGAGGTACGGTACACAATAAATTATGTGCTTTTGGTACTGTAGTACTATATGGCCCTGATCAAAGATTAAGATTCTTTGTTACAGTGTAGCTTTTTTACAGGGTGGCACAAACGTATTTTAAACAGCCCACCTAGGTGCTGAGGGAAAAAAATAATTATTTTACTGTGGCTGAATTTTGCTTGTGTCTATGTTGTTGTTTTTTCTATGTACGTCTGGGGGAGGCGGCCATCTCGATTTTTCTTTAGCCAAAGGTGGCAACTTTAATTACATCACCTATTAAATATTTAACCCTTTAACCTTAAAAAAAGAACAAACACATTCTTCTAATAAACAAATACTCAATAAACAAAGATAATTAAAAATAAAATAAATTAAATCTAAAGATATCAGCACTGTCGGATTGAAAATCCAAAAAACAGTTTACTTGATGCTCTTGAGGTAGATTTTGGCTATATTGTAGACTTACCCAGACCCACGGCCCCGGAGTCCAGCACCCAGAGTCGGTCACAGCGGTCCACCCGCACCCGGTACGTGGTGGTAAGCCCTTCACAGTCTCCCTCACGGTTAGTCGCCCAGTCGGGGTAGGGTCGAAGTTTGGGTGAAGTGTCCGGAGTTGACAAATCAACATAGTTCAATGTTGATGGCACTCCTGAAAGAAGTCGTGGTTGGGTGATTAGAAACTGAAGTTGTGTATGATTTCTTAATGACAGTGACATTTTATTGTGTATAGTGTAGAGATAAGTTGTGTTCTTGGGGAAGATGGACAATCACTCACAAGTATGCCTGTGAAAATCCTTCCTTGTATGCTAGTTAGTTTAAAATGTTACATGATTATTTTTTAAATCAGGTAAAGCAAATCCCATACAAGTTTAACTGGTTTCATTAGTGTTTTTTAGATTTACAAAACTAGCATTAGCCAAGAAACATATCGTTTTTACTTTTCTTATCTATGTTTTTGCCTGATGAATCACAAAATAAGTTTAGCGAATACCATATTATGTTGTCTCCTTCAAATCTGGATGTTGCTGATATGATCCCGAGCAGATAGATTCTTTACACAACACAGATTTCTACTTCAGATGAAGAACTAGACCAGGTTTTGGACATTGCAAGAAGTGTACAAAACGACAATGAATGAGGAAAACAAAAAAAGACACCAAGCACAAAACACTAAGAGACTTATTCTTCTGAAACAAATTAGAATGGTTTGTCTGACTAACCTTCTCGCCATCTTGGGACAGTGATGAAGAGCTTGTTGCGCCACACCTCGATGCCCACGGGGAGGTTGTTCTCTGGTTGGAACAGCTTCTGATTTAAAGCTGCCTCCGCAACCCAATCTTCCCCGAAGTCAAAATCCAATGATTTCCACGCAAATCTCTCCACAAAAGTTGATTGTTCTCCAAGAACAGTGTTGCAAATAGAAACTGGAAAAAAACATTTAGAATGTTATTACCCATTCTAAGATTATGGAAATATACAAACTAATGTTTTTTTTTTGTTTTAGCAAAATCTAGAATTATAAACAAAATATGGTTCCTGGTATTTTTTTAAGGTAAAGAAACAATTTAAATTAAAATAGCTAGGGGGTCAAAAAGCCATTGACAACAATCAATAAACTATGTTGATGATGTAGAAACTCATAAATTATTAAGTTTTAGTAATTATTAATTTCTTAGTGTGCCTCAAAGAACTTTAAAAAATTTGTTTTAATGTCACATCTTTAACCCTTGTAAATTTTTCAGTGAGTGAGCAATTGTTTAATTAAGCGTTTGTTTGAAAAAATAAATAGAAATAAATGCGTCTCATTCTGCTACATACCGACAAAAATTACAACCAAACATCTATCCATTTCCAACGTCTGGGTTATTTCAGATGATGCTTTCACTTATAAATGAATTCTCACTAAGGTCATTTTGTTTTGCTTAAGTTTTACGGTTCACTAAATACCACAGCAACCACTGTAGCATGAATACAGCAGCATAGTGGTTTACTCACAAAGTGTGGTCAACCACAGTTTGTCCCTGCTTTAATCGACTGAGTTTGATGAAGTGAATATTTTTTTTACGATTGTTGAAATATTTACTTCATTAAACTCAGTGATAAATAGTATTTTAGCTATTGCAACGGTTAAATTAATAAAAAAGAATTACTATCCTAATTTCTAACATCATAATAACTGAAAAACCCTAGTCTAAGTAAAAATAATTACAGTAATTTAAAATATGTAATGTGTCATTATCCACTTAATTCAAAACATCATAATCATCTTCTAAGGGCAGGAATCTCAATTAAAGGGCTGTTGTTAATTACATTAAAATATTGAAGAAACATCAGCTGTTAGATTTGAGTTTGTTTGTTTACTTTTCCCAGGGTAACCTTATATTCTACCATGGATTTCTTAATTGCATCAAAAGAAGTGACAGTAAGTTTTTCTTATCAATCAATCAATCAATTTATTTATTGAACTATAATTAATACATGCATATTATACAATAGGTGCAAAAACCATACAAGGCTTGTCTGCACCAACATATTATGAAAAACATTTTTAGTTAATCTATATATATAAAAGGCAAAGCCCTCACTGACTGACTGACTGACTGACTGACTGACTGACTCACTCACTCACTCATCACTAATTCTCCCACTTCCCACTTACCTAGGAGGCTGAAATTTGGTACACTGATTCTTTAGGCATTAAATAGGAAAACTAAGTGGTTTTTATTCTGATCGGACTCTCGGGCTCCGCCCCAGTGGCTCTGGAGTTTCGCATGTTAACCTAATGAGTACTCATATTTAAATGGAATTAATGAATCATAACAGCTGTTTCAATTAAACAAGTTGGTTCTGTTCTATGATGTTCAATAGCATTAAAGTTACAAGGATTACCAACAGAGTGCAGCACTATCATTTTTTTAAATATTTGACAACAGCTAGAATTTGAAACCAAAAGGTGAGTGAGCGTAGCGAACGAACTTCAACCCGGAGGCGAGGTAGCGTAGCGAACGAGCTAACCTGAAGGCAAGTGAGCGCAGCGAACGAGCTCCAACCGTAAAGGTGAGTGATCGTAGCGAACGAACTTCAACCAGGACGTGTGAGCGCAGCGAATGAGCTCCAACCTAAAGGTGAGTGAGCGTAGCGAACGAACTTCAACCAGGACGTGATTGAGCCATGCGAACGAGCTCACGTATGAAGTTAAACGGGGCAAAGCCCGCGGGTACAGCTAGTTAATATATAAAGTTGAGTTCAATCAGCAATCAACACAGTTCTATGAGTGTCCTAACGTGTTCCATTGAGAGTTACATGCATAATTATATTACCAAAAACCACTGATATTTAAATCCAAATCTCATGAAAATAACAATAAATAAATAACAATAAATAAATAGTATTACTAAGAAACAATGAGAAACAGCACAATAGACTATAACAAATAAATAACAATATATCTTTTCGTAAAATTATCATCAAAATTATAATGTGGGATAGTGTTCAAAACTTTGAATTATTAGTTTTAGAGTAGTTATATATATTTGAAACACAACAATTGGGGGTGCGGACAAACGTTGTGTATACAATTAAGTGACTTGGGGGGGGGGGGGGGGGAAATGCATCTGTAGAGCATATAATTAATTTACATAAAAAACAAGTGCTTAATCAACCAGCGGTTTGCATTTGACAAGGTGGCGAAGAATCACCATATCTTCTATGTGTTTTCTCCCCATGGCGAGGCACGGGCAGAAGAACTATTTGAAATAAAGCTAACAACTACCGTTAAGCTTTTGTAGGCCTATGTGAGTTACCATTGAAGTTTTTCATTTTTATGTTTCAGGAGTTGGTATATTTTCAAGCCCAGGTACTATACTCGGCGAGTGTGGCTCTGTTGGGATGAGTTTTGTCATGTGGTTTATCTGTAGTCTCATCATGCTTCTCAGTAAGTAAATGCAGGTATACTTTGTATTAATAATTATTATCATTACCTGTGCTGTGTAACAGGGAATGGACTAGCATTAAAATGTCCTTGAGAGCTATTTGTTCTATTTCTTATTTAGATAAAAATTAAAAGATCAAAAGAAACTAAACTGTTTTTAATCAAGACACAAATACAAGACAAAGAAAGTAAAAAATAGTTATTTGTGCAACTAGTGAGAAAAGTGAGCAATTGACTCACTCGAGAGAAATCCTTACTCACGAGCCGTAGGCGAGTGAGGAATGGTTTCTCGAGTGAGGCAATTGTACTTTGAACTTGAGTTGCACATTATACTTTTCCTATATTTTATTTTGAAAACTGAGTTTATTAATAAACTTTGCCTATTAGACACAGTAAAAAAAAACTTAAATTTACGATATAAATAACATGTAACATAGATTAATAACGTTGTCCATATAAATGATTTTGAATGATTTTACATGATTCTTTTAGCACTTTTATGACTATTTCATTTTTTAATTTTGATGGAAGATTATTTTTTTTTTTAAATTCGTCAAAAAATTTTGTAATAGTCCCTCTTGCACCAATCATTATGCCAATTACTGATATTGAATTTAGATTATATTTGTTTCTTAAATAAGTTTCACATTTACTATAAATTTTCCTCTTTTCTTCATCTACTTCTAGGGGTTGGTTTGATGATGTTTCGAACCTTATTGTTGGATCAATTACAATTCCACTTTTAGATTTTGTATCATAAATTAAAATGTCCAATCTTCTGTTCGATCCACCATCTTCAGTGCAATGTATTTCTTCTACTACTTGCCAGCCTTTTTTTCGTAGTTCTTCTGCGATCATTGCTCTTACAGCATGGTGTCTTGCATTACGCAGTAAGGCACCAAAGGGACAAGAGCCAAGGACATGCGGAAGGGTTTCAGGCTCCTTGCAATGTCTGCAAAGGGTTCCATCCTGGCTTCGCCCTGGTACGCTGCGTACTGGTACAACACCAGATATCATTTTTAATGAAGTGATCCATTCTCCTGTAGTAAGGCCATTTTTCAAATAAATCCATGTGTTGCTACTAGGCACTTCTTTGAATAATTCTATTCCTCTACCTTTACATGGTAATTTAGACCAAAGTTCAAATTCTTTCAACTGTAATTTTGATCTCAAATTTAAACCAATTCTTTTTTTCTCTTTCAATTCAAAATCATGTGTAAAAATATCATCAATTTCTATTTGAAGTTTTTGAAGTGACATGGTAATTCTTTGGGGGATGTTTATTAGCTCGTTTACATGGCTATTTTGTACGTTTTTTAGAATTACACACATATTTATATGCTGTATAGAACTTTCCCATTTTGCTCGAATTATTCCCAGACCTTTGAACCTTTTAGGGGAATATAAGAAAGAATTGGGTGTGTCACTTGGTAGAGTGAGAATTTCTTTTACTGCACTTCTAATAATTTTATCGATGTCCTCAAGAAATGTAATACTTATTAATTCGTTTGGTGTTACTTGCAAAATATATGTTAGTCTAGGCCAGAGGTACTGATTTATGATATTCAATTTCTGATTTGGACCTAAAACATTAGTTCCAACTAATCTTTCTAGATCTTTTTGAAAGTTTTGTATAACTTCACACCTATCAAAAACTATTTCATTTTCAAAATTTACACCAAGATATTTAATTTTTTCCCCAAGTTTTAGAGTATTGAATTTAATAACATTTTGTTCATTTTCAATGTAGATGTCCTCTTCAACAAGTTTACCTTTCTTAATATTAATTATTTTTGATTTATTTATATTAATATCAAGGTCAATTTGAGAAAGTAGTTCTTTTGTTGTCCTAATCAATTTAGACATTGATTTTTCTGTGTTAGAGAATAACACTATGTCATCTGCAAAGGCAGCGATGCTAATATTGTCTAAATAAGAATTAATGTTATATCCAAATTTGTTAGATACTTCTTTTTCTGAGATAGTATTTAAGATATCATTTATAGCTAGATTAAAAAAGATTGGAGAAAGGGGAGACCCTTGAAAAACACCTCTTTTCAATAAAATTTTTTCAGATTTAGTATTTAATTACCATAAAACAAATAAATTGGTGAAGAAACATAACCTATTTTTACACAGAAGTGAACTTTTAATATAACATTTAACTGAAGTGACAAATACAACAGTACAACAGCTGACCAGCTGATTTACAGCCAGTGCTGCCAACGTGTTTCGCGCGCATACGACGTTGCCTGCATGTTACGCGCTCACTATTTCGTGCCTTCACATTGCAAATCTGGAGTGAGACAAAGTAATTAGAGTGAGACAATGTTAACATTGTCTCACTGATGAGCGAATTGGCCACTTTGCTTTCTCAAATCAGTGAGAGAACATGTACATTGTTAGGTAACTGTAGGAAAAAACATATGGTTAAATAATAATTAAATAACCATAGAGGTTGAACATCTTTTCCTTTGAGTTTTTTTTTTTTTTTTAAGTTTATTCAGGAAATCGTTTGGTAGGTCTTAGAGAAAACTATGGAGATTTTCTAAACAATATCAGCCATACTTTAAACTCTTTTGCATGATCAAAAATGGACATAAACATGTGTTAAAATTTTTATCAGCTGATCCATAAAGATGATGAATCTAGGAGGGGGTACGTTTTATTTATTATTGTGATTACTGCCTTTCTGTATCTTGGAATATGAATAGAACTAGACGTTCCATTCCCACTTTAAAGTAACCAGTTTTCTAATAAAATATGTGGAATTGAGTCACTGCGGGGATGTTCTGTTGTAAATTACTTATTTTTTATTAATTAATTACTTATTAATTCATGTGCCCTTCATTTTCCAGCAATCCTACCTTTTGCTGAGTTATGTTCGGTAGTTCCGAAGACCGGAAGCCAATACATCTACATTCACGAAGCCTTTAAAGACTTCCACCCATTCTTCGGTCATACTCCTGGCTTTCTCTTTTTGTGGATCAACTTCATTTTCCTCAGACCCATCACTGCAGCCATCCACAGTATCATCTCTGCGGACTACATGTGGGCAATCATAGCTCCGGCTGTCAGTGCTGAATTCGAAATGGAATTTAGCTTCTTTATTAAATTCCTCATAGGAGCGTTTTTTCTATGCAAGTATAAGATTTTTTTTGCAAACAGTGTTCTTATTTGATTTAGGTTATTTTAGAAGAGTTTTACAAAATAGTTTATAGTCTATTATGGATTAGTTTAGTACTAGTTGTCAATATTAAGTTTTAAGTTTTTGAAGTGGATTACCACTTTTTAAGCTGGATACCATAAAACTATTGTTTGGTATCTATTATTATGTTGATTATTATATTATGTTAATCAATTGTACTGTTAAAACTGAAGATAAAAGGAAAACATGTAAAATAGAAGTTCTGCGAGTTTATAAAGGCAATCTTCAGGCAGACAATTCTTGTCACGGCCACCTTTATCTCCAGGCGTTCGAAGTGGCATCACTGTCAGTAGTGCTGTTACAGCTGTTTTGTTTGGAGGCAGCTAAAGCGTATTTTTTTATGAATACGAAAGCTTGGTTACTGGGCTATGAATATTACTCCATTTTAAATGTACAGAAATAGATTTTCAATTATATTGTTTTTGGTTTAGAACAATATTGTTTTATTTTCAATCTTCTAATAAATTTATATTCATAAATTTTAATTTTAATTAATAATACTACGAAAATGAGCGGGTGTCACCTGCCTGCCATGTTAGCTTACGGGACATTTGGCACTAAACTGCACTACTTGCTACATTGCCAATTCTACTGAAGGAATGACATGTTAGCTTTGTTACTAACTACGATCAGCTGGTCCTTTAGTGAGTTATAAAAAAAATCCTTCTATAAATAATAATTTCAGTTCTCATGGGATTCATCAACTGCCACAGCATCAAGACCTACGCAGTCACCCAGGACTTTATTGTGGTTTTGAAGATGATGCTCTGTCTCTCACTGATTCTGACTGGAGCCTACACGTTCTTATCAGGTTTTTCACAGCATAATTCAGATGAAAAAAATACCATCCCTAATATTTACCCCTAGAAAACTTATATGAACCTATTTTATTTCACAGTGCACTTCACTGATGCGTCAATGATTTGGTTGCCTTTGTATGCTGGTAATTTTCAAATAACACTCAGACTTGACTTTAGTGACTTGAATGGACCATTAATAAATAACAGTTTTGAAACAGGTCATAACATTATGGAAAGTCACTATTGCGTTATTTTCTTGAACATTTAAAAAAAGTTTGATTAAGAGGGTTCCACCCGGTCAATTCAAGATGGTTGCTAATTTTTCTAAACATGCCTCTACGGTACAAGCTCTCAACACTCTAAAACTAATTTGTTTCCAATGGTTGTGTGGTTTTTGTGTTCTTAACATATCAGAGCAATGGATGGGGATAGTCAATGTTTAAATATTATTTATAAGCTAAAATAACATGTAAAAAAGACTAATTTACATAATGATTTTGTAAATACCTAAATAAACAATTACAAAGTTTCAGTTCATCCAGGGCATAGTTTGGATCTTTTTGAATATTTTACAGTTTATTTCAACTCGATAAACACTTTAACAAATGCCACGAGGTTCTTTTTTGTAGGACCATGTTTACGTGGTAACCAGTCGGCGGGTGGAACCCTCTTAACTAAGACTTAGATAGATATAATGGTAAACATAGTAAACAATAATTCTACTTATTGGATTGATAGATTTTTGCAAGACTATTTTTGCAACAGACTAATTTCAATTTATTAACAAAACTCAATACACTTGTTTTTCGAGACAAATGATTATCAAAATCAATTGTTGCGAATCTCCTCGGTTGCAAAAATGATTTTGTTTGTCAGGTTTAATAATAACTATATTTGAACTTTTTTGCTGTGCAAAATCTTGTCATTCTTTATTAATTTTTCCCAATAGCCTCAATTACAGTGTGAAAATTCAAGTCTAGTCATGTTATAGTTAATTTTACAGTTAAATAAGGAAATTGGCTTTTATAAATGAAGTTTGTCTTATTTATTATTACTATTGGGGAAACATTTTTCAGGCAAATTCTATGCATGCAATACAAAAGTATCTTAAGGCCAAAATGACCGTAGTATCGTTACAGTTGTAATCCGAACAAACCATCAATGATATTTTTGAATGGTTACCTTATCTGTTCCAGAACAAGCCATAGAAGTTGACATGGGGTTTCAGAATACTACATTGGAGCTGGCCAATTTACCGTTTGTGCTGTATACTGGGCTTTATGCATATGACGGCGCGTAAGTTCAATATATACAGATATTTTCAATTACTTTTATTTGGTTGGTAGTACCACACACGCCGAATATGTATATTTGCCATTAGTTTAACTGATAGATATAAGAAAATAGCAAAAGCAACTGTTTGAAGAACTATTTTGTGGCAATATATATTGAACCATTTATACTTTTAGTTTGATAATTAATTAACAGTTTTGGATCTTTTCTGTTACAGGGCTACAATAACAGGAGCTTTAGAAGAGATTGAGAATCCTGATAGGTAATTTATTGTTATTATAATATCTAGGTTAACAATATTGTTTGTAGTGTGCTTGAGAACTTGTTTTTGTTTATTAATGAGTTATTATTTTCAGAACAGTTCTAAGAAGTCTTATTACGGGTCATGTAATAATATCAGCTTCTTACTTTTTCCTGAACCTTTCTTTTCTGAGTGTCCTGACCCCTACGGAAATTGTGTCAAGTAATGCAGTTGCTCAGGTGGGTAAACCACAGACAAGAAAAATAATAATTTGCACACTTTTTATAGTATACCGTTACATAGCCTCCAATACAAGGCTGCAGCGTTGATGTGCGTCAACATAGCACCAGCCGGCCTGTTGCCTTAGCAATAATAACAAACGTTTAAACATAAAGCACAGAAGCTCCACTTAAGTGCAAACAGCTGTTTCAGCAGAAGAGACCGCAGTGTTGCCACTTTTGTCTTGCCGCAGCCTTGTATGAGGTCATGATAATATCCATAAAGCCGCGTTTACACGAGGCCAGTGTAGCAGGCAGGTAACAGGGCCTGATGTATTTCATGTTACCTGAGGTATAAGTAACCTACCCATCAACTGGCTTCGTTTAAACTTGGCTTTACTTCTAGGACTAGGACATTTTAAGGTGGACACTTGTAAAATTGTTTGAGATCACGTTGTGGTTGTAGGCTCTTATTACAATGGTAATGAGGTTTACAGTCAACTAAGCTGGTAAAGCAAAATTTTCGGGAAAATAATTCCTGTAATTATGCTCCATGGCAAATGATAGTCAAAGCTTCAAGGTCTGCTTTTCTACAACAGATTGGATTTTTAATACACAAATTTGAGAAATTCAGTACATATTGATGTTAATATCCTTATAATTTCCCAATAGGTACCTGTAATTATTTCATAGAATAAAAGTAGTTTTCCAACGTAATTTTTATGAATATCTTAAGCTATTCTTTAAGTATACCTCCTCAAAAAGCCGAAACATAGCAGGTGTCTGGTTAGTAGAACGTTAGACTTCTTTTCTGAAGGAAGCGTGTATTCAAATTTCGTCAAACTCCATTGGCTTATTTGATATTGATAATAAACCAGTGGCTCAAGCCCGCCTGGAGCTGTAAAAAAAAATTATGGGTCTCTCGTGGAGAAGAACTTTTTCTGTTTTGTAAATTCCCCCCACTAAACCCATACAATTTATATTTGATTTAATCATTGAAATACAGGAAGTAACTTCTCAATCCTGGTTTTATGAATAAAGTATTGATTTTCAATAACTTCAAAAAACCTTAATAGTAGTTTTCATCACTAGGAGCGAAAGTGGCTATTCTTGGTACACAATCGTGTGTTATAGGCGAGGCGCAGCCGAGCTTGAAAATACAATTAAGGTGCAAAAAGAGCTCCGTGTGACGAACAAATATTTTCATAATACTGTGGAAATAGCCGAAATAACCTTCTAATCATTACAAAATTAGACCACATAATTTGAGGTTATACAAATTTGTCATCAGTGTTTGAGTGAAAATTTAAAAACGTACGTTTTCAGGAAACACACTTTGCAAATTTTTTCCCCTTTTTTCAAAACTTTTATTATTTTTTTGATTTCATTAACATTTGAAGTTTCATAAAATGTCCATGGTAACGCAATATCTTTGGTAGTTTTTTTTTTAAAAGAGCATCTTTAGTGGAAAAACACAAAATCCTGTCACGACCATAACAGACGTTTAAATGAATATTAAAAATAGTTAATATTATTTTTATAACTATGTTTTGCTATAAACTAATTTACTTTTATGACCATTATACATTAAAAAGGTCACTGAGCTTTTAGTATATTTGGTCTTTCTAGAAAAAAATAAAAAACTCAAAAAAATTGAAAAAAGCGAATAATATCTTTTTAAGTTTGTATAACTCCGAAAAAACTTACCTGAGACCCGAAAAATCGTTATGTTTGCATAGAGGCGTGCTTCTTTTGTGTATAAAACATTAAAATATGACGATATTTTAATTTTTGAAATTTTTATGACAGAAATCATAAACGTGATGGTCAGGGACAAGCGGTACGGTCGTGAATTTTATAAAAAAATCTAAATCTTTCTAAACAATCCTTTAATTATACTATTAGTTATAATAAAAATATGTGTTTCAATTGAACTAAACTGTTCAAATTACAATTATATTAAAGTTATTGTCACGACCAAACACACTATAATCCATAAGGCTGGATAGGTCGTGAAAAAACCCGCGATGGTCGTGAAACTTTGGTCGTGAAATTACGTGTTATTTGGCTCTGTTCTGGCGGTAGCTCTGCACCTCATGTTCGAGGATACAAAGTGGACTTCTAGGTTAATCTAGCAATTGAAATATCTTATAAACAAAAATTAACACCATGTCTACTTCATCGAATGACTATGTACGGTCATGGACACACCAAAATTACAAAAAACACAACCTTTCCTGTATTAATCTTGTAATTCCTCCTTTCAACTCGAAACGACCGGCACTACAATCCTGACGTACACCCCGAACTAGTCTCTAAAACCAACTGACTCCATCAACGCCAGGCTTGCCACTGTCGTGCTCCAAAGTTGAAAAATTTTCCCAAATGGTCGTGACGCCAAATCGAGGGACAGACTTATTATGTCATGGTAGTCAGTTTGCAATGACAATAAAATTATAATATGCTCCTTTTTTGTAAGTTTAATAACCATTGATGACATAAAAATATGGTTTTATATATTGCTGCATGAATAATTAGTCTAAAAACAGCGTGAAAGTTGGAAAATGTACCCTAGGGACACGTCATGGTCGTGAATTTCGAGACTTTAAAAATACGAAAAAAATACCTAGAACCTATTTAAAACCAAATAAATGTGTGTAACATGTTGCCCGCATCCCAAAAAATATTAAAACACATAATAATAAACTACAAATCTAGTAGCTACGAAGTAAAAGGCCAGGGACATGAAAACGTACGTTTTTAAATTTTCACTCGTTTACATTATTCTGTTGTTTATAATCATAACTTAAAATATCATGTGATTAGCAGCCTTTCCATAATATACTGATAAAATTTTGAGATTAGTGAACCAAAAAATTTACCTTGTGTTTTTTTCTGTTCCCTATTTGAAGTTACCCGAAAACGATGATTTCTCAGACAATTTGCAGAACAAAAAACTGCTGTTTTCCGGACAGTATGATTAAAAAATATATCTTATAATGTTGTGAATAATTACAGATATTTACTGATAAACTGTTTGGTCCAAGAGTGGCGTTCTTTGTATCAGTCTGTGTGTCGCTAAGCACGGTTGGAGGGAATTTGGCCAACATCTTTTATTCCGCGAGGTAAGTCTAATAGTTTAGTTATACACAAAGAGAAATATGAAATTTAGTATGTACCGGTAAATAAAAGTTTTCTGGAAGACCCTGTGAGATAGGAATTTCCACAGAGCGCTTGACGCTCAAGCTCTTCCTTGCTGTTGATCACAAGTATTTCAATATTTCCGACACAACATACTAAGAACACGGTTGTTCCATAAGCAAGTTTCCTCTGTACCTTACTTCTCTGTTGGTATCCTTAATAACATATGGGCTAATACTCTTTAGTTTTTATAACAGAGAATTAGTAATAATTCACCAAAAATTGCTTAATTTTGGTAAAAAAATATACAGTATTAGTGAAAAGAAAGAAATATAAGAACATCAAAACACTCATGTATCATATATAAATCTACTTTTACCATAGATAAGTCTTCATATAAAAGGACTAGCAGAGTACCCGCCCTTCGTACGGGGTTGGCATGAGTATAAAATGCTTATTGCGGTTATACTCATGCTTTGCGTTTGCAATGGGAGAGGACACGGTTTAAGAAAATTTTGTTCTATAAATTTATGGTATGCTATAGTATAGCACATCTACCATAGCCATAATGTTCTACACTGCACCTAAACAATAAAAAAGTGAAATTCTCATTTTCTACAGCTTTTTGTTGCTAGATGGTTCAAATTAGATGTTGTCATAAATGAAAAAAGATATAATTATGTGTAGTTGAAACAGCTGACAAAATTCTTGTATTCCTTTTAAATATGAATACTCATAAGGTTAACATGGGAAACTCCAGAGCCACTGGGGCGGAGCCCGAAAGGATTTTTGAGATAAGAATGCGTCTATATGTTAATCGGAAATATGAGCTATATAATCACACCAAATTTCAGCCCAGTCCGACCAGTATTTTACCTGTCACAAACATCCATCTATCCAAACTTTCTCACTTATAATATTAAAAAGATCTTATTTTTGTGTGTTTTGTGAGTTTCTACACCAGTGGATGACGAATCTATAAGGGTGGAAGTGGTACAATAATTGTTATGTATATATACTCATCCTAATCAATTCAATTATTGTTCAGATTGGGTTATGCAGCGGCGAAAGAAGGTCACATGCTACAGTTTCTGTGCTACATTCATAAGACCAGACTAACCCCAACACCTGCAGTCATTTTCCAGGTAAAAATATATTTTTCGTTGCTCAAAATAATCTATTTTAATGAGGAATCCCTTAAATTTCTACAATGTTTGTTTCTGATCAACACCATTTTGTTTCCAAACACCATTTTTATGAGTATTGTTATGGTAAATAGTATGACAGTTCCAGAAATAGTAAGGGATTTTGTGTGACTAAAATTGTGTAAATTTGAGAGGAAAGCCAATAGTATATTTAGATCAAATTTATTATTGTTTATTGTTATTTTGAGCCATTAAAAAATTAATGAAAACATCAAAAGCCAAAAACATTGTCGAAAATATCACAGTAACGACAAGATCACCATGCCTCCAATTATTATGTAAGGTAAAGAAATATTTTTAAATAATTCTAGAGATTTTTTTCTAGACGCAGCTATGTTTGGAAAGAAATTTGATAACCAGTAAAACTTACATTGATTTAAAAAATTTCACACCCTTTTAGAAATTTTGCAAATTTTGTGTTATCTTTTTTGTGAGTTCCATGTGTAATGTTTTGTGAGTTGTTTGTGACAAAAAAGTTATCCCATATGGACCAGATGTTGCCAATTTTTTATCAAAAAAGAACAGTGCTAGTCCCAGAATGTGAAGTTACTACCTTATTTTTGTTGCTAATATAGTTGATAGCTCACATTAAAGTTGTCCCATCAGTTTGACTTAAAAAAAGTTTGATCAACACAATCTGTGGCTCACATCAACTACGATGATTTTGATTCATAAACTAGCGACAACTTTAAGATGGAGATGGTAAGTTGCAGATGGAATGTCTAGTTGTATCAATAGTCAAAGCTATTACTAACTTTGTTATTTAACTTAGGTTACACTTTCAATGGTATTTTTCCTGATCGGAAAGAAGACAGAAAACTTGGTGAATGCCTATTCCTTTGTCCTATGGGTATTTTACGGCTTCACAATGGCAGCTCTGATGATCCTACGGGTTAAAAAGCCAGACGCACATCGTCCTTTCAAAGTAAGGGTCAAAAATAAAAGAAAACACAGCATTGATTACATACAGTTGCTTTGGTCTAGATGTTCTTGTATCATATTATTAAATTACTTACTAACTAGAGCAAAAATGATTGAAATAAAGTGAAAAATTTCAATAAATATAATAAAGGTGTAGATGACAAAGAACTAAATGATAATAAATTTGGTTGTGAATATTCCTAAGGTACGTAGGCTACTTTCCAAATATCGTAAAATTATAGACACATCATTCAATTGTTAACACGTTCGCTGCGGGCCATCAAACAGCAGGCGTAGCCCCAGTGCGGCGCAGCCCGCAGCGTCGAACAAACCCGATTGCCGGGTGATTGGCTCTCATATTTCGGTATGACGAATAGCAAATAACGTGTGGTGATGTCCTGTTTTATAACAAGAGTCGACGTAGTTCGCTAAACACTCACATATAGCAGCACTGCTTGGAACGTAGCCGGTCCCATCGTATAAACAATTGGAGGGAGAAAGACGGGACAAAAAGTTGATTTTTAAGTTTGCCAGACGGGGATTTTATGGGGAAATTTTACTACCAACCTACAACACAACAAAAAGCAAGTCACCCACTACACGCTAACGTGGAAACATTCTGCAAAGGGTCGTAAACAAACGCACGTGGCGCGCTCGCCCACCCCCATCCCGCCCCCCCTACTGATAACGCGACAAAAATAGAAACCAAGGTCACCACGGTCATTCAACTGTGTCAACGCAGGTGGCTACAAAGTATTAGTTCGAAATATCAAACGGCTGAGCCACAGGAAAATATTGAATTTCAGGAGGACCCAAGTATCCATATGGATACCGCCGCACCCAATGTGTTAACCAGACTTGTCACAGCGAAGTAAGAAAGAGAGGATAAATTTTAATGGTGCACTTAAGTGGTATCTAGCACCAGTCACTGGTGTCTAGAGCATCTATTCGCCGTCCCGATCCGCTCTTCTTTCACCATATTAACACATACCCCCCCTCACCTTCACTTACTACAGCGGGGGTAGGAATGCCCCATGTGCTACAAATGCTGTACAAATCTGCTATGTTGCCATCGACGTTAGTGCTCTTCCTTGTTCGATAGTACAATTCCGCCCCAACATACCAAAGCTAAACGCACGGTTGTCCCATAAGCTTGTTTCCTCTGTATCTTACTTGTCTGTGCTTTTGTAAACTAAAACTAGACCATTCGTTTATGGACCAGCGTAAATTTTTTTATATTTGTTATTTAAGAACATACAACACATTTTTACTTTCTCCCCCTACACCATAGTATATGGGAAAAGTATTGTTTTCATAAAAAATGTTGAGTTTGAGTTTTGAGTGGATATATCCGTTTTGGGCCCCCCTGGACCCAAAAAAGTGGTTTTCAAAGTGATATTTCTGTGTGTGGATGTGTACAGAGCTACAGACCACACCTGTAGTCAGATTTTGATGAAATTTGTCTTGTATGCACTAATCCATGGTATCTCTAGGCATTTTTTTCATTTTTTTGAAATTTTGATTCTTAATGGTGATTTTCCCATAAAAACCCATAAAATAACGGAAAAATCCAATTTTATTCAAAATGGCCCGAACTATTTTGATAATCATTTAGTATTTTTTAGTCTTTTAAATTGTGAACAAAAAGGTAGAAGTCCCATTCCTGTAAAAATTAGGGCTCAAAAATTATTGTAACTTATGATATTTAAAAAAAAACCCGAAAATAAAAATTCGATAAAAAAAAAAAAACTGTTTTGATTAAAATTAGTTTGTTATGGTCCTGTAAAACTACGGTTAGAAAGTTATTGCAACTTTTGTGAATCTCCTTATAAAATCATAGTTAGTCTACTCCTACCGCTTACCCAACGGTTTTTAACAAGCTAAATGGGAAAAAGTATGTGTCAGATTGCTGATACCGTTTATTTCTTCATATTTGGATAGTTCAGGTTAATCAATCCATTCTGGGATTTTTGCTCACCCTGTTTTACGTGACATTATCTGTTGATAGGTTCCTCTTGTGATTCCGTGGACTGTTATGGTGATTTCTTGGCTCCTTGTTGCCGCTTCCTTTGTCACCCAACGCTTCACAGCCTTCATTCACATAATCGTCGGTTTGGTCGTCGGAATACTCGTGCAATATTTTTTTGTGTTCAAGAAAAAGCGTATTTGGGGCCTTGGTGAGATAAAGTTTTTGCAAGAAATTGTATTAATTCAACAATAACATACATATCCTCTCCTGTTCCGGTCATCTCCTGGTCTGGGTGTTACATCTTCTTCTGTCCCTCCACAATTTCTTTTCCTCCACTTACTGCCACTGCACTCCTCTTTAACATCTTGTCTCATCTCGTCAATCCACCTTCTAGGTCTTCTTCCGTTCATGTGAAGCTCACTCATTTTTTTGGTGAACATAAATAATAGGTAATCATAGTAAATTATTTTATCTGATTTTGCCAGTGATTAACTAAAGGTTGAACCATTGTTTCTAAATCATACAGTAAGGAATAGAAATACAATTACCTGGGAACCAGGAGGAAAATATAAAGAGGGTTTATAGTTTTGGTAAACCAGTTTTGTAACTGCTGCAGTATATATTTTAACAGAGAAACAAACTTATTCTCTCAACTCTTACAATATCAGTCATGTGGTGGCTCAAAAATGTGTTATAAAGAGCAGTAATGAAAGTAAACCTAAAAAAAAACAGAATAAGTTAAATTAATTATTTATCAATCAAAAACTCGTTTTATTATTATAATCAAATTAGGTGTTTAACTTTTAAAAATCAGCTATCAAGTTTCAAAATAAAAAAAATATAGAAGAGGGTGTTATGAAAATAATTAAGTACAGTCGGGACCACATAAGTTTGCAGTTGGTGGCAGCCAATCACAAGACAAGGCTAGTGAGACGTTGCTACATCGCCAATGACAACACTAATTAAAATATACAAAGCAATATTTTCAAATCAGCTGGTATTATTAGATTTGGCAACACCGCACCATTCTCATTGGTTCATTCAAAACCATATGGTAAATAGGCTCCTCCCTCAACTGCAAACTTGTGTGGTCCCGACTTTAGTTAGCTGCGACAAAAAAAGTTGTAGAAAACCCAATGGACAGAATTTTACTATAGTATGTAGTATGTCTAGTAAACAAGCCACAATTAGTTATTAATTTATACTTATTTATCTCTCTTATTTCAGCCAAAATCACGAAAAATCTGGAAAAATGGTTGGATGTAGTTCCTCCGTCTCAGTAAAGCAAGAAATCGGCTACACCTTTTGTAAAATAAAATGTGTTCTGTTACCAGTAATTAGTAAGTCAACAGTCTACAGTATTCAGCATCATTGTAGGACCTTAATAAATAAAATTTATGTTTTATCATTTTTCAAACTTTGTTGATGATTCTTAAAACAAACTGGAATAACTTTAAGTTATAATAAGTTTTTTGTGCCCAAGGCAAAAAAATGAAATCTTTACCTCTTACCATGAGTGCCCACAGGGGGGGGGGGCAAGGTGGCTTATTGCACCCCTTAAAACACAAAACCAAAAATAAAATTGAGCTATGAAGGGTTTTATAAAATACTCAATACATTTTTTAAAACATAAAAAGGGGGAGGGCTATTTCCTCAGCCCTTGGAGCAAGATACCAGTTATTTGCATCCCTTGAGAAAATGTCCTGCAAGGCTTGCCTTGGCTCTTACTACGTGGAGTGGCAATAGTATGGAACTTCATAAAACGTTTAGTTAGTTAATTATTGTTTGGAGAGTGAATTTAATTTAGTAACATTTGATTAAGGTCTAGATTAAATCAATGAAACGATACTTAAAATAAGATTGTACACTGAACAAAATAAAATCTTATGTGAGTTTCCTTACATTTTTTGCTACGGGGTCTGGAGGAAATGAAATATATTATTTGCTTGTTTATTGGTAGGTTTTGGCGTTGGATAAGAAAATGTTATCAATAATGTAGCTAAAGAATTAAAATTCTTTTCAGCAACTTGATATGGGAAGAAAATGTTGTGTTTATGAGATTTCTGGACTGTCTGAAGATTCTTTAATCATGTTAAATATCGGGTTTATTCATACCAAATCGTAAATCGTAATTTGTACACGTAAAAACTTTATTTTATCTTGTACAAATTTGTTTACTCAGTTAATTATAAAATTAAAAGGTATAACCACACCAAGGTGTATAAAAGATCATTTATATAACTTGTAACCAACAATTGTAATTTAATTGTGTTAAATTAGTTAAACAATTAGTAAGAAAAACTATTGAAAACGATCTGCTGTAAAGCTAAATTCAGAGAAATGAAGTAACAAATATATAGAAATTGCAAAACTCATGTTAACAAGTTCACTGCCGCAATAGTACTTAATTTTTCATTCACTTGGTTTCTTCCCATAGACTGCGGCGCAAATATGCGACAGCTGGTCACATTAAAATAGACTGATCGTCGCATATTTGCGACCCTTCTATTTGAAGGCCTTGGATTCTCTGCAGTGGTCTACAGAGATGTCTGTCGCATTTGTGCTTCACTTGGTCTGTGGATATGATGATTAGTGACATATGATAGTTGGCAAAACTGTGTTTTACCTTGCTGCATCACTGGCCCGTGGTCTGCAATGTACTGTTAACCAAGTGACACACCGGCCTGTAAGATTTTATGTATACCTCGGTCCATGACAGACTGCAGCGTTGCATATATGTGGCGATCGGTAGCAAACGTGTTGAGCAAACAAATGTATCAATCCTTTGATTGATAGCTGTGAACCTTTGTATTTGCCAAGCTCTTATTCGCTCAAAGTAAACAGTAGCAGATGTCAGCAACAATGTCAACTTTTGTTTGTATCCTTGAGATCCAATGTTGAGAGTGCAGCTCATATGAGAAGTGGTCGAAACTGATTCTTTTTCATGTCTGATGTATTGAGGTTTTTTTTCTTATGTGCAGTATTAACGAATAATTTCAGGCAGAGTTTTTTTTTTTTTTTTTAATATCTTACATGACTTCTTATACTGTAACTCTTTTTTCCAAGTGAATACTCAAGTATTAATACAATTTTTTTCAAGCTAGGATTCTCATTGGGATATTAGAGTATTGTTGTAAAATTTAATTTACTTTGAAACATTATTTTGCATTCAAATTCTAGAAGAGCATTATAAATTTTAGAACAGAAATTATAACTTTATAATTTATTGTAAATGTCACACATTCAAGTTATGGAATGTCCAATGTTCATAGAACTAAAAAAATCAAAGACAATGATTTTTTTATTTCAAATACATTATCAATTCAAGTACTTCCTTAAAACATGAGTTTGTGATCAGAGGATTAAAAAGTTTTAGTTCTAAATCAACATAAGAAGTTTAAACAAATATACTATCCTATTTCAAGCATATAAAAGTCTAACACTATGATGGACAACCACACACAGCCTAAGCCTTTGAAAACAGTTTCTACGGAATTTCTTCCAGGAGTTCACAAGCCTAGAGTACAAACTCTATTCAAACATGAGGACAGTCCTGTTTATTTTGAGAGAGAATTGTCTTTTTTCAGTTCCGTAAATTTCATTCTTAACTATGTTATTGGTAAGTACCAACTGAAGTTAATACATGTATACGGTACCTACTAATTAAAAAAAAACATAATGTTTTTATCAAAAAGTTGGCCTATATTTTTTTCTTTTAATAATACTGCTTTGCTACATATATTTACTAGCTAGGGTGGTATGATGGGTACCGCTGTAGATTAAAAAAGGTTAGTACTAATGAAAGATGCGCCAGCATAAGGTGAGAAAACTTAAAATGATTGGTATATTTCACTACTAGTCCCGAAAGTGACCCATTTTTACCTTTCTTGGAAAATTACTATCGAGCTCCAAAAAGGTGCTTTTTTACAAGTACGGTACCGGTAGTGAATGATAGCATAAAGATGCAAATAATCACTCATTTTTGGAATTTTAATTTAAGTTTTTATGTAACTTTTTTTGCAATTTATTTTAAATCGTCTCTCATACTTAGTTCACAGGCGGTTTGAGAGGAAGTTCCCCCACCACTATTTTGTACTCAATATATGTTGGTTAATCAGTTGTTGAGCTATTATTTTAAAGGATAGAGTGGAGGGGATAGATTTCTTCCCCTAAAACCGCCCAAATATTCAGATCCTGTCGATTCCTGCTAAACAGGAACTTCACTTGTTTTGGACAAGCAAAATCATATGTTTTGGAAGATTGGAAAATTATTATTTTAGTGAAGATCAGCTGTGCATAAATGATCTACTTTCGTGCATAGAGATAAGAAATATATGAACCCAAAACATATGTAAATTAATGTGATGTAAAATAATATACCTTTACTGTATTAATCAGCTTGTGGGCTTCACTCACCTTAATTTGTTAATCCAGGACTCGTCAACATGTAACACAACGAAGACACACAACACACACATACACGCACATAAAAAATCGTCCTTGGATTTACTCCAACGTTTTGCAGGACCAAAGATAACGTCCCGCTTCCTCAGGGAATTAAAACTTTATTTATCTCGCGTACACAAGCTGAACGCCTAACCACGACTCTACCTTTCTACCACGAATCTACCTTTACATGGCAATTAAAGCCCAAGGTTCTAACTCATTGGATTATGGATACCATACCATAAAAATGGCCATTGGAATGGTACAATTTACTAATATAGATTGTATTACAGGAGTGGGGATATTTTCAAGTCCTGGACAAATTTTGGAAGAATGCGGTTCGGTCGGAATGAGCGTAGTCATGTGGTGCTTTTGTGGGGTTATTTCACTTATGAGTGAGTATGGAATCCTATTAGTTTATTGTAAGTTAGCATTTTGATATTCTTACTGGGAATTCACCAATTCCCTGTATTTATGCAATGCGGAGGCTAACATTCATGAAAATGAATTTACGTTCTTAAATATTGAGTTATTTTGTAATTTCTTAGTTTTTATTATCATGGAATCATATAATATGAAATAGTACATTGTTTAATTCATTTTAGTCTGTGTTTTTAAGTTGAGCATAACAAATATAATGTCTGAAAGTACAAAAATGTGTCAAGCAGCACTTGTAATAATATATTTACACTCATACTGTTTACTCACAAGACGTTAAATACATATAAAAGATAGTAAGTGGTGATTGATTTCAACACTCCAATAATCATCAGACCATTTGAAATCAATCACCGCTTGCCATCTTTCATATGTATTTACCGTCCTGTGAGTAAACAGTATAAGGGTAAATACCCCTTATACCCCCCCCCCCTTGGGTAGTTGGTTATATTATTAAAAGTGTTATTTGACGTATTTTTGTACTTTCAGGAAATTTAATAATACGTACAAAGCTGATCAAGAAGTTAAAAAAATGTTTATTTCAGCTGTCCTGCCGTTTGCTGAGTTGTGCTCAGTAGTTCCGAAGAGTGGAAGTCAATACATCTACATTCACGAAGCATTTAAAGACTTCCATCCTTTCTTTGGACATACACCGAGCTTTATTTACGTGTGGATCAACTTTTTGTTCCTTCGTCCCGTCTCCTACGCCATCCACAGTATTATCTCAGCAGAGTATGTTTGGGCAATCATAGCTCCAGCGGTCAGCGAAGACTTTGAAATAAACTTTGGTTTTTTAATTAAAAGTCTGATAGGAGCATGTTTGCTTGGTAGGTACGTCTATATTTTTTAATTAAGCCTAATATAATTAAAACACAGAAAATACATTTTTATAGTAAATCGGTTGGACATTAATTTACAACCCAAACTTAGACTAAGTATGTAGAAAATGAAATAAATTTCCTCCATATTGTTTTTCATAACTTAAGTACAACTAAACACTGCAAGTTAGAGAGGTGTTATTGATAAAAGTAGAAGATTATAATTAGTGCTTTTGAGGTCTTTGGACAGATCTTCCCACAAGGTTTATTGTTTTGAGGTTTTTACCAAATAAAAACTAATAAGCTCCACAAAAAATCTATAAAGGTTAAGTGATTTCTAACAAAATAATATACATATAGCGAAGTTCACTTATATGTCAAATAAGTTACTTAAAGGTAGGTTAAAAAAATGGTAAAAATAGTAGTAAGAGTAGAAAGTGAGTCATTACGTATTTAAGACCATGTTTGAAGTGCGAGATTTATCGAGCACTTTAAATGGTCAAGAATATGTATAGACCCACTTTAACTTGAACGTTACTTTTCGCTACACTACAAAGACTAATAGTTATTTTCTTGAAAATTAAAAAAAAAACTCATAGCATTGTTCAGGTTATAGCTTCAATTTAAAGTTAGTATATTTACTAACTTTGGTTTTACAGTTTTGGTAGTTGAAAATTAAAACAGTTGACAAAACAATAACAAATCTTTGTTTGTTTACTTCGGCAAAATCCCAAAAAAGATAGAAAACATTACTTTCGCATAGTAAACATTGCCGTAGTAAACAATGTAATGATGAATTTTTGCAGGTGATAAATATGTAACGAAAACAGGTCATTTCACAGTAGAGTTACAAAAAAGATTTCCAAAAATCATAACAATTTACATTACAGCAGTGGTTTGTAGATATAAAATTAATTGTTCTTTGTCATCTTTAATACTAATCGGAGATAAACTTTGAACATATCAACTGGACAGAAAAAGCTCCAATAGACTATGTTTTTGTTTTGTTTTCATAAACCCTTTGAATCTCCAGTTAAGTGTTAATATATTTTGATAAAATGCCACTTTTAAACAGACAATTAAACACTCAGAAACTAATTATCTACTTTTCATGAATGGAAATGTTATTAATGCTTTACAATAAAACATTAAAAATATATTATTGCAAGTGTTGTTCTTATTCATGTTCATTAATGTTCCAGTACTGATAGGATTCATCAACTGCCACAGTGTGAAAACCTTTGCGGTTTCACAGGATTTGGTCGTTTGTTTGAAAATGAAGCTCTGTTTGTGCCTAATCCTCTGCGGAGCATATAATTTTTTGTCAGGTTAGAAGCACCTCTTATACATTTCCTAACCTTTTTAGCGAATTTCCCATATAGGGAATAAGCTTATTACCGTAGGTCTCATGGTAAGACCTGGACCCAGAACTGATTTACTTTTTCGTTTTGAGGTGCTTGGAGGCCAAAAATACTGCCCATTCAAACTAATATCATAGAATAAATAAACACCATTTCATCTATGCTAATATATAGGCCTACTGTATATATGTCCGTTAGCATGATAACTCAATAAAAAATTATCCGATTTTGATGAAATGTGGTATAAAGGTGTAAACCTACATCTATTCGAACGAGTTTACAAAACAGCTTGATCGTACTATTGGAACGGGGTAGGAACGGGACTCGTTTATGGGGTAAAAATTGGTTTTTCCCATTTTTGACTTAAAAACATAAAATTTAGCAATTTCTTTCCAAACCATTTTGTAGAGCTTAAACAACAAATAACTAAGTATATTTAAGCGTTATTATGTGCCCAATGGTTAGGGAGAAAATTTCAAAAAATTTTAAATTTATAATTTCCATTTTATTCTTATGGAGAATATGTAACTGTTGTAGTTTGCTTGGTTATGAACATATTTTGATCAAATTTGGAAAATGCATTTATTTCTTACTAAACTATTAATATAAAAAAAAAACTTTTACCCTCCCTGTTGCAGCAAACCTAAAATCGTTAAAGTAATTATATTTATATAAGGAATGCATGTGATATTTTTAAGGAGACATTTGATTGTAAATCCAATCAGGCAAATGGAAGTTCACTTAGTCTGCAGGTTTGCTGAGGTGGGGGTATTTTATGTAATAGCCAGTAATAGCTTAAAAAACAAGAAAAACAATACATTGAATGAGTGGTTGAAATCATCTCAGAAACTTTTGTATATATATGCCTTGTATGAACAAAATATTGTGGAATTAGTATAGAGCAAGAAAATTTGGTCTCCAAGAGATTACCTACTCAAATTGAACCTCATGGTTTTGTTTAAGAACAAGCTGTGGAGTTTGACATGGGATTCGAGACTACAACATTGACTCTAGAAAAGATGCCATTTGTGCTGTACACAGGACTGTATGCGTACGACGGCGCGTAAGTTTTTAGTCACATTTGTAGTCCTTTTGTAAAATTTTTCACCATACCCATTAATATTTTTAATTTATAATAGTTTGTTTTTTTAACGTGGACAAGGTTCGGTCCTATGGTGTTAAAGAAACTGTAATGTGATTTGAAACATTTTTAACTAGGGTATATAGCTGTGTAATTGGAGTAATTGGGAAAAAATCATTTTGAAAGTTTGTCAAAAACCAACTACTTTTTTTGTTCACAGGATCATTCTCACTGGTGCGTTGGAGGAAATAAAGAACCCAGATAGGTAAATTTACATCTAGAAACAAACTATTTAGGTTACACAAACCTTTCTCGTCAAAAATCCTTGCGACTTATTTCAAAGGGTTGATGAAAAATGATTGCCGATTTTAAATTACTGAATTATGTCTGTTTCAGGACAGTTTTAAGGAGCCTTATAATGGGTCTTGGACTGGTTACAGCGTGTTATCTGTTGCTAAACTTTACTTTTTTGAGCGCCCTCACTCCAGCGGAACTTATATCTAGCAAGGCTGTTGCTCAGGTTAAGTGAATATGTTCAGCAACATAATTGTAGATGTTACATACTCGTTTATCAGTTTTCATTCTTATAGATAAAATGGAAACCATTTTAAGCTATGTTTATGTTTAGTAGGTCTAATGTAGAGTGAATTTTGGTATTTTTTGTTACACCGGTTTTGTAACCAAGGTGTAAAATTTATGCACTGTAGTTTAGGGTAAAATTAATCCTAAAAAAACATTTAGTTAGCGTCAGTAGATTTTCAAATTCATTAATGGTTGTCGAGTAAGGTGTAAAATTATTCTGTGCAAAGCAGCTGCTTGGTAGAAAAGAAAACAAAATCAATGAAATTCTCATACATTTCCTATCGTGGAACAAAGAATGATTAAAATAGGACAACCATGAGTCTAGGCTCCTCTAAAACAAATATGTGGTGTTGGTGTATGGCATCAGAGCAATCACAGTCGTTAATTACAATCATGTAAACATAAAAATTGCGGAAAAGCTCAATAATGAATCTGCAACAGCTGTTTTGGTAGGCCGGGGCTGCAATGTTGCTACTTTTGTCTCATCGCAGCCTTGTATTAGAGGAGGCTATGCTCTAGAGTCTAAAATGCAATATTTAAAAAATTGTAATACATGAATTATTGGCAATAATGCATGTATTTCATAGAAAAATACTTGTCCGTCTGAAAAATAATGAAAATAATGTTTTGGAAATATAGACTTACACAATAAAAATGTTTTAATAGTTGTCAGCTAGATACAAACTAGCCACCAGCTGTGAAATCCTCTCATAAAATATTTAGCAAACTGTTTCTAGCTTAGCCTTATTTAGTTTGTAAATTTTTACTCTTTTTATGTTCGTGTAATTTTGAACGAAATAGTTTTGAATTTTGGTGGATGCGCAAGCTTATTGTTAAAAGTGGGAGTTTACAAGTCCTTGAATAATTGATATATTTTCAGGAATTCACTGATAAGCTGTTTGGCTCCAGAGTGGCATTTCTTGTTTCTATTTGTGTGTCTTTGTGTACCGCGGGAGGCAACTTGTCTGGGATCTTTTATTCTGCAAGGTAAGAAAATTTACGCTGTAAAGTGTAAATCCAATTTTAATTTTGAAATATAATTGTAATCCCACAGTTGTCAGATCTTCGTTGTGTTTCAAATTAATTTCCAAATTACAATATCTGTCAGGTACCATCTATGTTGATGAAAACAGCAAATTGTATGATGTAACTTTAGTTTCAAGTTTAAATGTTCAACAGTATCTCTGTACATCCTAGCAGTATAGATGTAGTGATAGAAAATATCTGCGAAGAAACAAGTACACTCAACATAACAACACCAGAAATGGTCATCCTACAATTGCAGAAAACTTCATAAATCACTGCCTCAAGAAATGCATACCAAGAGAGAAAACTTGCTGAGATCGGCACTGAAAGCTTGGCTCCTGGACTGGCCGTTTTACTCACTCAAAAAATGTTGTTAGACACTAACAAAACACTACCGGTATTCAACTTTATACCACTTGGTACACCAAAGTGGTATTTTTTTTCTCATTGTATATGTCTGTGGCTTTTTCAAAGGAAGTTTCAGAGGTACACAACGCTTTTAGGGAGATGTTCAGGATTTCGCCCCGATCATGGGGAAGCTTCAACGGGGCGACGGGGGGCCACTCGGGTTGGTTTGGTGGGGGGCCTCTAGAACCCTAAACTCGGCACTGTTAGTTGCACAGATTGGGTGGTTAAAATGTGTTTCTCTGGTTGCATAGGCTGGGCTATGCAGCAGCTAAGGAAGGCCACATGTTACAGATTCTGTCTTACATACACAAAACGAGGTTGACTCCCACTCCAGCAGTCATATTTCAGGTATTGTTTTATTTCCGTAAAAAAAAGATTTGGTGATGTTGTAATCAAGAGTAAATTGATGTAACTTAATTCAGAATTCCTTTTTCTAAAAGATAGAAGATAAACATTGCCTCTTAAGGTTTTCTTAGGCACGGAAAAGGAGAGCGGAGAACGGAAAAGCGATTAACATGGCGTTCCGCTCCGTTTCTAGGAAAACAGTAACATTAAATTACTCTAAGACAAGAGGAGTCCGCTCTCCGCATTCCTCTCTCCGCTCTCCGCTTCCGCACCTAGGAAAACCCAGCTTTACCAAATCCCAAAGACAACACACTCGAAGACAATAAATCCCAAACACAACCATTGAAGACAATAACTCAATTTACAAAGTAAAAGATTCTATTGGAAATTGTAAAAAGGAATAGCTAGCTAGCGTACTTGAGAAAATTAGAGTGCAGTGGCTAATAGATAGTACTCAATAAAAGAACGCAAAACATAACTCTGATATTTCGACTTGATGTCGAACTTCTTCAGAAAGTTGGTTTAAGAGAAATGAAGATCACATTCAAATATTGGTTCTAATGATTGGAGTGTCCAATGGAAATCGATAACCACTTACAATCTTTTATAACGTCTTGTGAGTCAAAAGTAGTGTAAATATACAGGGTGTGTTTTTTTTTTTACTTGCATCTTTATTTATGTAAAAACTGCAATAGATAGAAATATGCAGTTTGCGGGAATCATCTATTGACGTAGGGGGCCCAATTGTTTTGAATTCAACATGACATTCACATTCCCCCTCTTTCCCCCCCTGCCACCAACTTAATTTTTTTAAATAGCAAGGTATCCCTTGTGACATATCAAATGAAAGAGCATGAAAAAAGAAAATGTTTGGTTAAAAAACATTGAAAATCGGCTCATAAATTTGTGAGATATTTCACTCCCTTTCTCTCCCTACCCTTAACTTAAAATTTTGAAATTTCGAGATATCCCTTGTGACATACCTATCAAATGAAAGAGCACGAAAAAAGAAAATGTTTAGTGAAAAACATTTTAAAATTGGCTCATAAATTTGTGAGATATCTCATTTTTCAAAATTTTAAGTTAAGGGTAGGGAGAGAAAGGGGGTGAAATATCTCACAAATTTATGAGCCGATATTCAATTTTTTTTCACCAAACATTTTCTTTTTTCATGCTCTTTCATTTGATATATCACAAGGGGTACCTTGCTATTTAAAAAAATTAAGTTGGGGGCAGGGGGGGAGTGTGAATGTAACGTTGAATTCAAAACAATTGGGCCCCCTACGTCAATAGATGACTCCCGCAAACTGCATATTTCTATCTATTGCGGTTTTTACAAAAATAAAGATGCAAGTTTTTAAAGAACATCCTGTATGTTGTAAGTGTTATTAGACATATTATTTTAATTTACTTTAGTAATTAAAAGAAAATAAATATGACACAAACAATTTTGTAGTTTCTTACTGTTAAAAGCTTTTATTCATGTTATCATTGACCTAAAAATGTAACTATAATGTTTCAGGTTATTCTCTCACTGGTTTTCTTCCTTTTCGGTAATAGAACTCAATATCTAGTCAATGCATACTCTTTCGTCCTCTGGCTGTATTACGGATTGACCATGATAGCGTTGATGATTCTGAGAGTAAAAAAACCTGAGGCAAACCGTCCATACAAGGTGGGCTTTTTTTAGATAGTTTTATAAACCATTCACATACCAAACGTCATTTTTGAACTGTATAAGCAACAAGTTTAATACCTTCATGGTTGTTGGGGATACTTACAATATATACAATGACATAGGGTCCGAACAATCATAAACTTTGCTTTGGGTTACCTCAGAACAAAACGAGCGAGTTACCAGGTTACTCCACTATGAAGTAGCAATTTCAGTAAAGTTAAAGTTGTACATTTTAATCCATCAAAAAGTACCGGTCAGTAGCACTGACAAAAACCTTTGATCTTAAAGTAAACATTCCTAAGACTGGGTTTCAATTTTATCAAATTAAATAATTTTTTACAATCGGGCGAGAACACGACCTTAGCTTTGAATGAGTATAACTCTACATCCATTCAACATTTTTATCACATTTCCTCCACACACGACAGTTTACTTTTTAGTTTTTACTATCAAAAAATTATATGCTTCTGCTTGAAACTTACTTTATCGTGTTGACAGGTACCTCTGGCCATTCCTTGGTTAGTGCTGGTCATATCTTGGATGCTCGTCTTTGCTTCCATCATCACCCGACCGAGCAACACTTATTTCCCAGCTGTAGTAGGCATTTCCATCGGTATAATCGTGCAGTACGTTTTTGTCTTCAAAAAGAATCGGATCCGTGGATTAGGTAATTTTTTAACTTAGTGTAGAGTAGGATAAGCCTGAAAATCTTACCATCCAAACATTTCTACAGATTATTGCAGCATTGTTCCTTCAAATATTGTATATAATATACTTAATAAAACTCAACAAAATATTAAACTGTGAATAATATGTGAGGGAACTGAGGGCCGTACAACTTGGGAGTGGTGAATGTACTAAACTATTTTTAAGCCGGTCAAAGTTGATTTGTAGACTAATTTTAACACTTGAAACTGAAAGTCAGGTCAAAACAATAGTATATTTTAATACTAGGGTGAAAATAGAAAAGTTTGCACATTACATGTTTTTGGTTGAGTTTTCGACCACTGGACGACCGACCTCTAGTCTTTTTCAAGAGGCACATAAACTAAAATAATAAACAATAAAATATATTGCTGTGTCGTAGAGCAAAAATACAAGAGGAATACGTCAATGAAAGTCCAATGGCCAAACAATTGTATAGATTATGTAACGCTAGCAACGCACATGCAATAGCTCCGGTTCTTTCCACAGGGTGCGCCATACTGACTCACTGACTGATTCATTTCAGCACGACTTGCCTGGTGCTGGTGTCTGGGCCAGCCTGGGCGCGCGTCCCATGGCTGGTCCTCTAGACCAGCCTGCACTCAACGTGTTAAAAGCCACATAACGTTAGAATATGGATAAAAATTTGAAGCCTAGCTAGACTTCTACAGTAGAACTCCAATTATCCGAACTCCAATTAACCGAATCTCCGATTATCCGAATTGCTTACTTCAACAGTTTTAAAAACGTAAAGCTACAGTAAAAAGTTTTGCAAAATATCAAAGAATTGTTATTAAACACATTTAGCCAGTGTTTAATTTTGGACTTTGATCGAACACTATTAAAACTTAATAACGTGTAAAGTGTATAGAACACTTGTACTATGAGCATTGCACACTGTAAAAATGTTCTGATTTCATTTATTATTGGGTAATTAAAAGTTTATTTAGTACCGAAAATGAGGATTTTTCTTTAATACTCCTGGAATTCCGGTAAAACTCTGATTATCCGAATTTTTGATTATCCGAATGGGGTCTGGTCCCTATTGATTCGGATAATAGGAGTTCTACTGTAATTACCTAGACTTTTAATACACCTAACCTCTGGTTTCAGGAAATCTCATGAAAATTCTCCAGAAGTGGATGGATGTGGTTCCTCCTACTCGGCGGTAAAGGATGAAACCGAACATTATTGTGATTTTGATTTCAAGCAACCTATATTTTTTTCAAATTAAGATCTAAATATCCACGAATGAATGAATCAAGTGATAATAATTTAACATTTTTCTCAGAACAAATAAAAACTCAACCAAACATTGGTCTATGGATGTCTTTTATTGTTGGCACTCCTGAATATAACAATTTTCTTGCTTTAGAACCTTGTCTTCTGTGTATATGACTGTGTCACAGACAGATACTTATTACATTGCTAATGTTTCGGACTCATTGGGTACAGCCATATTCATAGCAGTTTAATCGAGAGATGCCATGCGCTTATACTGGTAGATCATATAATATCATAGTTTTATCCTTAATCACCTAATAGTATATTTCGTACCTAGGGCCAAAAGTGAGGTTTTGCCGGCTCGAGATAGTTTTTAAGTTCGAGACGAAGTCGAGAACTTAAATCGATCGAGAGCTGCAAAACCATTTCGGTCCGTGGTACGAACGCTATTTTTCACCACACAATACCCTGTTACCACTATTCACCACTATCATAATGCACACTGATAGTCAACACAACTACAACTTTAAGGTTATGTGAAGAAATGATTTGAGGAATCAGCAAATAAATAAATAGTTGCTAGGCAACGGTGACAATAACACAATTCTATTGCAATGCTATGGATTTTGATTGTGTATTTAAAATGCATTCATGTTTTAAATAAGTAAGCGGACAGCTGATTTTGCGGCCATGGGATGTAAAAACCTGCTCGGTCCCCAAATTACGATGACAGCTGGCATGGCCAGCAAAACGTAACTTTCAGCCACAAATTAATCGGTACTTTCCTGTTAAAGGGAACATTCATTATTATCGATGATTTATTTTCGATATTTTTGTTTTCCATCCGATATATTGATAGTAACAAATTGAAACATATCAGCTGACAAGTACGATATAGGATACAGTAAATAAATATTGTTCAGTATCAACAAACAATAAAAAAATATTATATTGAAAAGAAACTGTTCTAAACTAACCTAACCAACCAAACTTGCTGTAACATTTCAAAATTCCGTTTGATAGCCTATTCCCCATATGCCTTTTCTGTTATCAAATGGAATTTTGAAACGGTAACTTAGCCTATACAGCAAGTTTGGTTAGTTATGTTAGGTTAGTTTAGAATAGTTTCATGTCCTAATCCAATGTACAGGCTATTATTTTTGCCTAAACAAGGTTGGTTCTTAATTTGTAATTTAAATGCGTATGACGATAATAAAACAGATGTACCAATCGTGAAGTAAAACAAAAATATCGATATATCGAAAATAAATCATCGATAATAATGAATGTTCCCTTTAACAGGAAAGTACCAATTAATCCTATATCCTATACTCTAATACGAGCAAAGTTTGCTTGTATGTATGTATGTATGTATGTATGTATGTATGCTTGCACCAAGATCTCGAAAACTGCTCCGACGATTTTCTTCAAATGTTGTATATAGTTTATTATTGGCCTAAAAACGAGTTTACTGCAATTAGAACTGCCAACAAAAATCTAATTACATAGAAAAATGAAACTGAAAATCACATTTTTTTAATTAGTCTTATGGGTTGCTAGGTAACCATGTTGGCTGAATTAAATAACAAGGAAAATGTAAACAAAAGACTTGTAAGCTATCTATCCACAGTATACTAGCAAATCAAAATACAGTACAAAAGGAAAAACATCAGTTGTTACTATTGAGCAAAGATTATACTGAAGATTACTCGATTCTATAGTCAAGGGTAGCAGTGTGGAGTTTGGGATCTGTTTATGATGATTAGATTACGGTATCTGCAATCCTTAAATGCTATGGGAAGGGAAGGAAACAGGTCCGCGACGTAGGAAGTAGCAAAGGCGAGCAGTCTGGAGTGTGGGAACTGTTAACGACGATTAGATTAAGGTATCTTCAATCCTAAAATGCTATGGAAGGAAAGGGAGGGAACCAGGTCCATGACATAGGAAGTGGTGAAGGAAGTAGTAAAGGCGAGCAGTCTGGAGTGTGGGAACTGTTTGTGACGATTAAATTAAGGTATCTGCAATCCTAAAATGTAATGGGAAGGGAGGAAAACAGGTCCATGACAAGGGAAATGGGGAAGGAAGTTGTAAGGCTAGCAGTGCAGAGTGTGGGAACCGTCTGTGGCATTTATGTATCTGCAATTCTAAAATAGTATAAGGAAGGAGGGCAAACAGGTCTACGACATAGGGAGTGGTGAAGGAAGTAGTAAAGGTGAGCAGTCCGGAGTGTAGGAACTGTTAATAACGATTAGATCAAGTTATCTACAATCCTAAAATGCTATGGGAAGGGAGGAAGGAATCAGGTCCGCGACGTAGGAAGTGGTGAAGTAAGTAGTAAAGGCGAGCAGTCTGGAGTGTGAAAACTGTTTATGACGATTAGATTAAGGAATCTGCAATCCTAAAATCCTATGGGAAGGGATGGAAAGAGGTCAGCGACGTAGGAAGTGGTGAAGGAAGTAGTAAAGGCGAGCAGTCTGGAGTGTGAAAACTGTTTATGACGATTAGATCAAGTTATCTACAATCCTAAAATGCTATGGGAAGGGCGGGAAAGAGGTCTGCGACATAGGAAGTGGTCAAGGAAGTAGTAAAGGTGAGAAGTCCGGAGTGTGGGAAATGTTTATGACGATTAGATTAAGGTATCTACAATCCTAAAATGCTATGGGAATGGAGGAAAACAGGCCTGCGACGTAGGGAGTGGTGAAGGAAGTAGTAAAGGTGAGCAGTCCGGAGTGTAGGAACTGTTAATAACGATTAGATCAAGTTATCTACAATCCTAAAATGCTATGGGAAGGGAGGAAGGAATCAGGTCCGCGACGTAGGAAGTGGTGAGGGAAGTAGTAAAGGCGAGCAGTCTGGAGTGTGGAAACTGTTTATGACGATCATATTAAGGAATCTGCAATCCTATAATCCTATGGGAAGGGATGGAAAGAGGTCCGCGACGTAGGAAGTGGTGAAGGAAGTAGTAAAGGCGAGCAGTCTGGAGTGTGAAAACTGTTTATGACGATTAGATCAAGTTATCTACAATCCTAAAATGCTATGGGAAGGGAGGGAAAGAGGTCTGCGACATAGGAAGTGGTCAAGGAAGTAGTAAATGCGAGCAGTCTGGAGTGTGGAAACCGTTTATGACGATTAGATTAAGGAAACTACAATCCTAAAATCCTATGGGAAGGGATGGAAAAAGGTCTGCGACATAGGAAGTGGTGAAGGAAGTAGTAAAGGTGAGCAGTCCGGAGTGTGAAAACTGTTTATGACGATTAGATCAAGTTATCTACAATCCTAAAATGCTATGGGAAGGGAGGGAAAGAGGTCTGCGACATAGGAAGTGGTGAAGGAAGTAGTAAAGGCGAGCAGTCTGGAGTGTGGAAACCGTTTATGACGATTAGATTAAGAAATCTACAATCCTAAAATCCTTTGGGAAGGGATGGAAAGAGGTCTGCGACATAGGAAGTGGTGAAGGAAGTAGTAAAGGTGAGAAGTCCGGAGTGTGGGAAATGTTTATGACGATTAGATTAAGGAATCTGCAATCCTAAAATCCTATGGGAAGGGATGGAAAGAGGTCAGCGACGTAGGAAGTGGTGAAGGAAGTAGTAAAGGCGAGCAGTCTGGAGTGTGAAAACTGTTTATGACGATTAGATCAAGTTATCTACAATCCTAAAATGCTATGGGAAGGGCGGGAAAGAGGTCTGCGACATAGGAAGTGGTCAAGGAAGTAGTAAAGGTGAGAAGTCCGGAGTGTGGGAAATGTTTATGACGATTAGATTAAGGTATCTACAATCCTAAAATGCTATGGGAATGGAGGAAAACAGGCCTGCGACGTAGGGAGTGGTGAAGGAAGTAGTAAAGGTGAGCAGTCCGGAGTGTAGGAACTGTTAATAACGATTAGATCAAGTTATCTACAATCCTAAAATGCTATGGGAAGGGAGGAAGGAATCAGGTCCGCGACGTAGGAAGTGGTGAGGGAAGTAGTAAAGGCGAGCAGTCTGGAGTGTGGAAACTGTTTATGACGATCATATTAAGGAATCTGCAATCCTATAATCCTATGGGAAGGGATGGAAAGAGGTCCGCGACGTAGGAAGTGGTGAAGGAAGTAGTAAAGGCGAGCAGTCTGGAGTGTGAAAACTGTTTATGACGATTAGATCAAGTTATCTACAATCCTAAAATGCTATGGGAAGGGAGGGAAAGAGGTCTGCGACATAGGAAGTGGTCAAGGAAGTAGTAAATGCGAGCAGTCTGGAGTGTGGAAACCGTTTATGACGATTAGATTAAGGAAACTACAATCCTAAAATCCTATGGGAAGGGATGGAAAAAGGTCTGCGACATAGGAAGTGGTGAAGGAAGTAGTAAAGGTGAGCAGTCCGGAGTGTGAAAACTGTTTATGACGATTAGATCAAGTTATCTACAATCCTAAAATGCTATGGGAAGGGAGGGAAAGAGGTCTGCGACATAGGAAGTGGTGAAGGAAGTAGTAAAGGCGAGCAGTCTGGAGTGTGGAAACCGTTTATGACGATTAGATTAAGAAATCTACAATCCTAAAATCCTTTGGGAAGGGATGGAAAGAGGTCTGCGACATAGGAAGTGGTGAAGGAAGTAGTAAAGGTGAGAAGTCCGGAGTGTGGGAAATGTTTATGACGATTAGATTAAGGTATCTACAATCCTAAAATGCTATGGGAATGGAGGGAAACATGTCTGCGACGTAGGAAGAGGTGAAGAAAGTAGTAAAGGTAAGCAGCCCGGAGTGATGGAACTGTTAATGACAATTAGATTAGGGTATCTGCAATCCTAAAATGCCGTTGGAAGGGAGAGAAACAGGTCCGCGACGTAGGAAGTGGTGAAGGAAGTAGTAAAGGTGAGCAGTCTGGATTCTGGGAACTGTTTTTGGGAATTACATTAAGGTATCTACAATCCTAAAATGCTACGAGAAGGGAGGAAAACAGGTCCATGACGTAGGAAATGGTGAAGTAAGTAGTAAAGCTAGCACTGCTAGCAGTGCAGAGTGTGGGAACTGTCTGTGGCATT